AGTACATAATACTCAGCCCATGCCATCAGTATAAGTAAGCAAGAACAACTTATTCAGAGGATTCAATTACTGGGCATTCTGCTTCTTTCTTCTAGCGCATCTCACAACTTCATCTTTTTCCCTCATAATTAACCTGAGACAAGCATCATGGCCATGAATTATCTGAAGAAAGTTCTCCCAGGGACACATGTCCATCCTGAGGCTCTTGTTTACATCGTTTGCCCATTATTTTACTCAGCCAGCTAGAAAGATTCAACCTTCTTTTTCGAGCTCATTTAAAGTGTGGCAATGACCAAAAAGAAACAAAAGCTTTCTTGAGATCAAGATCTCCGAATCTCCTTCACCCTCCCTCAGAGCTTAACTTCATAATTTATCTGCCTTCTTTCAAGCCAGTACCTTGACATATGCAATACACATGATCTTCTCATTTGACTCTGTTGCCTACCTATAACCTTTTGGTGGCAGACTTTGAACATTTGTTACCATGAAGGATTTCTTGCTCCTAATATAAATGTTTTAGTGTAACTGACAGATCTAATGTCTGCATGAATATGCCATGCTACTCCAACACCACTTTCCTTATTCCTCTCCAGACACATAGCACAAGACTACATTTGGAAGTAGCAGCTACCCTGTTCACTGAAGGAACTGTTTGTCATTCAGAACATAGTTCATACTTTCTCATCTAACAGAAAATAATGTTGGAGGACAGGTGAAAGAGCACCAAGCATCCTCATATGCAAATTCAAGCCTAACATAACCATTAACCTGCACCTAGTTTTATGATGAAAGCCTAGTTCTGATATACTCTGTTCTACACTGTAATTGGAGACTTGCACTAAGCATGCATTACCACATGGAGAAAGCTTCCTCCAGAGCTGAGCCATCTCAAAGGCAGGGGCAGGAGGTCCCATATGCAATGTGCTACCTGTAAGCCAGCCACTGGTCTCTGGACTTAGCACAAAGTCAAGGGCAGTTTGTTCTTCCGGCAGAGGCTGGGAAGTTCCTAGAGAACCACCCGGATGAGTGTACTTCACCTGGACTATTTTCAGAATTCATTAGACCACTCCTTAGAACAACTGGAGGCCTGTTCCACCACATCAGAGACCTTCCTTTCTCATACAGGATGTCAGGATGTTTTACATCTGTGCAACACCAAATTCAAAAATGTTCTTGAGGACAGCACTGATGGCAGTTGCTGAAGCAACTAGGTTTCACCACTGAATTGAGAAGAATTTAATGCAGCATGCAGAAGCACAGCAGTTAATAGATTAACAGCATCAGTACAAGCTTACAGATGAACCACTGCCATTCCATCACTTCCAGTGGAAGCCAATAGTGTTGATTCAATAATTACAAATTCTTGCCTCAGTTTCTGGGAAGTTAGAAACACATCAGCAAAAAGGCTCAAGTAGTTGGACTACGATGGAAACAGAGAAATATTCTTTAACAGAAGGTGAAGTTGGTCTCAGAAAGCAGAGACACCAGTTCCTTCTCCCATCATGTTACACTCAGGCTGGCTAGAGACCACTGAGAGTGTCTACACATGTAGTTATGGGACCTTCAAAATATTTTATACTTACTGAAGCACTCCAGAATGGGCTATACCATAGGCACAACTACCTCTTGCTTCTTCCTAATATTCTATAGTTCAGGGAATTCAGGAAACGCACCACACACACTGCAGTTACACATGTTAAGAAGAGAATATACCCTACCTATTGATGTGTGCACATACAAGTGACCACCTACATTATACAGCTTAGTTAAAAACTGTCTTAAGTGCTTGGACATAGCAATCAATATGAATTATGTATGGATCACATAAATTACACACTTAAAACAATTTAAATATCATGAAGTCACCACCACTTCTGAGTTCAATTACTTGTTTTCAGAGTACTTCAAAATAGACAGTATCGAGAAGAGCTACACACTTCCTCAGCCCTTTTACCTTTTTAAGCTACTTAATTCCGAAGAGACCCTGCAGAAAGAATAGGACCCCCAAATCCCGTGAACATCTCGTAATTCTTAGTTACTACATTTTCTCATTTGAATGTTGGCTGATGAATATGCACAGTCCCCCTGCTGTGCATACTGATCAAAAGCAAAACCCTTCTAAATAAAAAGCACGTGCCAGAACAACAGCTTAGCAGTGACTACAGAACAACCACTCTCTTTAACAAGTACAGCACTAACAAGTCTTTCTGGAAAGATAAAGCAGGAAAAGTATTCTGGAGAAGTCTGGCAAAAACAAGGTCACTTGAGTTTCAGCAGACACTCAGTAGGTTTATCTTAGCAATCTTGTGCCGCTGTCTGATACAAATACCAGCAGAAGACAGTCCACATCTTTCCTGATGATCTGGATGATGGGGTCGAGTACACCCTTAGTAGATTTGCAGACAAAACCAAGTTGGGTGGGAGTATTGATCTGCTGGAGGATAGGAAGGCTCTGCAGAGGGATCTGGACAAGCTGGATCCATGGGCTGTGGCCAACTGTATGACGTTCAACAAGGCGCAGTGCCGGGTCCTGCACTTTGGCCACAACAACCCATGCAACGCTCCAGGCTTGGGGCAGAGTGGATGGAAAGCTGCTCATTGAAAAGCACCTGGAGGTGCAGATTGACGGAGGTGAACAGAAGCCAGCTTGTGCCCAGGCAGCCAAGCAGGAAAACAGCATCCTGGCCTGTATCAGCAATACTGTGGCTCTCAGGATTACGGACAAGACCATCCCCCTGTACTTGGCACTGGTGAGACTCCACCTCAAGTCCTCTGTTCAGTTCTGGGACCCTCACTACAAGAAAGACATTGAGGTGCTTGAATGGGTCAAGAGAAGGTCCACAGAACTGATGAAGGGTCTGAGGCACAAGTCTGGTGAGGAACAGCTGAGGGAACTGAGGGTGCTTAGTCTGGTGAAGAAAAAGCTCAGGGGGACCTTATCACTCTACAACTACCAGAAAGGAGGTTATAGCAAGGTGGAGGTTGGTCTCTTCTCCCAAGTAACAGGTGATAAGACAAGAGGTAACAGCCTCAAGCTGTGCCAGGGGAGGTTTAGATTGGGTATTAGGAATTTCTTTTCCAAAAGGGTGATCAGGCGTTGGAACAGGCTGCCCAGGGAAGTGGTGGAATCACCATCTCTGGAAGTGTTAAAAAAACGTGCAGTTGAGGCCCTCAGTGATAAAATTTAGAGGTGGTCTTGGCAGCTCCAGGGTAATGGTTAGACTTGATTATCTTGAAGTTGATTTCCAACCTAGTTGATTCTATGAATGAGATTCTTTGAACTATCCTGTTGTCTTCTCAGTGACTACCTGTGAACTCAGTGAACAGGGGGAATGCTTGATTAATTAATGTTAGTCAAGAAGATGGTTTACAATTTTAGTTAAGTAGAATAATCTTGCTATAAAATCAAGTACAACACTTACACTTGAAGAAGTTTAACTGGTTAATAGGGCATGAATCATGAACTCTGCCAGGTAACAGAGACATGGGTCTGAAGAGGCAATGAGCCTCTTGCAATGAACTCTTGCTTGAGTAGAAGAATTTTACCAGAAGAGTGCTGAGAGATAAATCCACTGCCCTCATCAACTGACATTTTTATGCTTTTATGCATTTATTCCATCTTCCTCAGTTTCAAGTGACTGAGCCTCTATGCACTTCAAAGAGCACTGTGAAATGTGCAACGCTAGGAAGTCAAACCTGTACAAAGGTATTGGACTTTAGTCCATCTCACAAATGCATTAAAATACCTTTTGATAAAGATGACGCAAATTCCATTACATGCAAGTAAAATTTGATTAAACAGGTTGGGTAGCACAGCCATTCAGAAGAACTCTCCAGCTATGTTCAAACCTTTGTAAGCCTACCTGAGCAGCATAAAGTGTTATTAAAAGATAGCAAAGGGTGTGTACACCCCCCCTCATCTACCATAAAACCTTCAAAACACACCTCCAAAGCTTTCTCTTCAAGTTCAGGATTCCCATACAAGTAATAATAAAGTTAGCAGGTAAAAGACATCCTACATCTCCTCAGAACAAACTCACACTACATCGAATCTAGGTCACATCCCAGGCTTAAATTCTGCCCCCCTCACAAGCTGTTAAAACCAACAATAATTGCAATAGTACATGAATAACCTTTGAATAGTACAGGAATTAGCATTAGGTAAGCCAACCCAGTTTACCTCTATTGCACCCTTTAATTAGAAGGCAAAATACACTGAAAGGTGAATTCCACTCACCACGACTACTCACACCTCCACTCAACTGGTATTACCTATCAGGAATGGAGGCAACTGGGACAAAAATCTCTCCCTTTTCAATTTTGATTATTTTTATTATTCAGTTCTGAGATTATTAACTGGATAGCGGATGGATGTGACCATTCATTAGCAGAAGGAAGGACAACATACTAGAGGACTGTGCTGAAATGCAGACAACAGGGTGAAAGAGTTTCAAGTCATTTGCTCCTAGTATCTCCATCACTTTTAAGGGCTATGTAGCTAGATAATTCAACTTGTTTGCAAGGGACAAATAGCTCCACTGGAAAGGACAAAAGTTTTGCTCCTTACAAGAGTCACTTCTGTAGGCCAACACACTGCTTTCCTGTATTTGGAATTTCTAATTGGATTGCAATTCATATGGTGAAATGAATGGTTTTGTTTCCAAACCTGCTTGCTCAATAACAGATCAGAAAGTGGTAAGAGGACAGCTGCCAACCTTAAAGCTAATACATAAAATATTTTTGGTCAAGCTGATCTGGAAGCAATTCTGAACTGAAGTAAAAAAGCAACTTAGAAACCAATTAGATTTCATCACCTATGAAGAACAAAGAAAAGGACAACCAGAGTTACCAGTTCCACCTGTGATATTGTGGGTTTTTCCCCCCTTCAAATTTCAAACAACTTCTAAGTTTGCAACAATTTGCAATGATGAGTGGCACTGAAATTTAATGTAGAAAATGCAAGAGGAAGCAATAAGGGCAATGCCATTATACATATGTAGGTTTTGTTTGTTTATTATTTCTGTATGCAATGTAATGTTTAGGCACGTTGCTTGGGATGCCTTCTAAAATAAATCATTGGCCATTGTTTAGAGTATCCTTTTGGCTTTAAATACTGGTCAGGAAAACAAATGATGTAAAAAATAAATGAATATAACTATTACAGAAACAAAAAAAAAAAATGATTTGCATCTAAAAGTGCAGGAGGTGAAGTACTTTAACCCTTTCACCAGACAAGGTGGCAATACACACTATATTGCTTCTGTTTGTTTGAGAAGGCTGTTGGAATTTTATACTGACATAGAAAATTATAAATTACACAGAATTAGTTTCCATAATCACTATATATATATACACAAACCAGCTGAGAAAAAACTGGTTTAGAACATACAAATGAAAGCCTCACACAGATCAGTACAGTGAAAGTAACAATTAACATGCTCTGCTGCCAAAATTTGTATTAAAAACACTATATACTTTCAAAATGCATGTACTGTAATTGCATTAGCAGCACAGGCATTTCATTTATTTGACTTGTCTAAAAGGTTTATAGCGTTTTAAATACGCAGATTGTTCTGAAATGTTCCATTGGATAATGCTTGGTATTAAACTAAATCTTGGTGAATGGGTTAAAAGGCAGGTGAATCACAAACACAACAAGCCATGTGCATTTCAAATATTCTAGTGTTTCACCTGTAAGGTATTGTTTCAAGCAAACAAGACTTAACAGAACATATGGCTTTACAGTAACATCAATTTGTCAACTAAGTTGTAGCAATAAATACTTAAAATCTCTACCAATAGACTTACATTTTTGATCTGTTCTGAACAATACAGAAAACAATTACCGATTAAAAAACCTCTTGTAAAATGTTGAACACCAAAAAATTCTTATGTAAATCACTTTTGTAAGCTAGACCAACCAAAATAACATTTATAGGGCATTTCAGTTTCAGAAGAAACATGAATTAATTTTTTTCTTTTCTTTTTACAAGGTGAAAAATGTATGAAAACTGCTAAATACTTTGGTCACACTAATCATCAAATAGTAATGTCTCAAATACATTAGATTTGTGTATTCACTTTTTTTATAAAACTATTCTTACAGCCATTTTAACTATAGTAACACTACTGTCATCATTACGTGGGTAGCAGGATCTTATTTCACAGGCCACCCGTTATTTAGAACAATACAATATAAACATACGCAAAAATTATTGGTATTTCTCAATGTGCAATATTTTTACACTTATGAATTTCTGTACAATGTCTTAAAATCTAGAATATAAATGTTGCTGGTCCTGATCCCTTGCGAAATTAGTGCAGCAGTGACTGGCTTCAACAGGGTCTAGATGAAATCCTCAAAGAAACACTCAAACACCTGGATATCAGTTCATTTTCTTCAGCCAAGGTAGCAGACATCACACATCATACAGGGCCATTAACAGATGCCTCTCCTAAATGGGTGTGCTGATCAGTCCTAAGAGGCCAAAAAAAAATGTAAGTATACAAAAGAAAGACTCAAAACAAATTTGGGTAGGTGCAAAAAATTCTCCCCACAAAACAAGCACCCCAGATCATGTGTAGCATGACCCTTGAGCTGGAGCATTATCTTATTATTAGCTTAGGCTTCCTCTCATCCCATTTATTTTCTGAAGTCCCCATTGCCTAATTAAGCATAGCACTTTAATTAACTAAGCACACCTCTGCAGAGTGTTTGGTCTTTATGAACTGAGCTACTAAGTGATCTCCAGACATGTGATACCTCCCCAAGAGAGGCACTGATAAAAAGCACATTTATGATAGTTCTCCAAATCTTATTCCAAAGTAAAATGTAATACCAGGAGTATTTAAGGTTGCATTTCAACATAAGCAGCTAAGACAACAGGAAAAACAACAGCGTCTTCAGAAAACCCAAAATCCTGCTTTAGTTCCTAATCTAATCTACAAACTGCTATTTCACAAGTACTTTGAATGTCAGTCCATTAGCAAGAAAAGTTCAGAAGTATTGAGGAAAATAAGGAGCAAACCTGCAGAAGTGAAAACAACAACAGGATATACATTTCTAGATAAGTCAAACATGGGCTCAATTGCTCCAGACTAACACAAAGATTAAATCAGTAGTGCATGAAAATACTAATTGTAAGCAAGAAAGGCAAAAAATTTCAACTTCCATTCAGTACAGTCTGCTGAATACATCCGAAGAGTCCCTTATAAAATATAAACCCATTTGGAACTACATATGAGAAAAGTTACCTGTAACTCCTGTTCTCTGATGGTGTACATCACAGAGAAGCCACTCGTGGGTCCGTGCTCTACATGCACATGACCAGCAGGAGTCCCCTAGCTAAGTCTTTGGCTGCTAAGCTCTAAAAGCACTTTTTAAGAAAAATATGTACACATTAGACAAATGACAGAACTAAGACAAAAGTAAACACTTTTTAGGGAAACCAGGAAGGTAAGAAGTAATTGCTGCATGGACAGGAAGTCTGATGGTCCACACAGCAGTAAGTCACTTGTTAACTGGGAAGAAGTTCATGACAGTCCTTCTCCTTGCACAGATTGCTGGCCACCAGCCAAAGACCTACCTAGGTGACTCCTCCCACTAGTCATATAAGCATGGAGCCCCAAAAGCACAATTATAGTTATCTTGGTATTTATACTGCGCTTATATGTGTTTCTGCTGTGACAGCCACCTTTAGAGAAAGCCCTGAAATCCACTGCAGCCAGTGGGACTCGAGGGCAGGAATCCATCGAGATTCCATGCGACTCCAGAGCAACGCAGCCAACTGCTGGCTCCGAGAGACCCCTGTTGGTTCACACAAGCATCTTCACTCAGAAGGCAATCGGCTGGTACCCAATGGCTTCTTCCCTACAACTTGACGCTTACCAGCATTAAAACCACTGTCTTGATAAAAACAGTACCTCCAGATAACAAAGAGGCTGTGAGAGACAGTTTAGGGGTTTCCCACTTTAACCAAGAATATATGGTTGTTTTGGGTTTTTTTCTTATTAGAATCCACTTCTTGATTAAATTCATGGGATTTATGCAGAGCGGGAAGTTCCGTCTTACAGGAGAAGGTAGCAGAGTTTTAGCATAACAGCCAGTACCACTGAGGTAAGACATACTAGCCCATAAACAAGCCTAAAATCCAGAACCTAAATTTGTCAAACATGCTTGCATCTTTCTTAGTTTGCACACAGTATAACCAGAACATGTAGCTCTTCTGTGTTGTATGTAGAGCTGTACTCAGTATCTTCGCTTACGAAAACATTTCAATTTTACCCTCACTAGAAATCCAGGCACAGTGCCCATAAAGTCTTCAAAATTATTACTGTCACAGGATTTGTGAGAGAAATACTGCATTTTTCTAATAGTTTAAAAGCTGTTGTATTTCTTGACTTTAATAGATTTTAAAAAACATCTCATTAAATACACATTTAGAAAATGTGTATGTATATTCTGAATTCTCATTTTCAGAAACATACCCATTCATGGGCAAAAGTTACTTCTATAATTGCTTCTAATTAAGTAGAATCCTCTCTCCCTTCAGAACATGCTCCTATTCAGAGCATCCTCACCTCCTCAAAAAGAAGGCAGCATACCCAGCTCTGACCCCTCAAGCCCCGCCCTGCAGGAAGAGAAGCAGACCCTACAGATTATTCAAGAGTTTGGTAAATATACACTTAGATTTTCCTACACAGGGTTTTGTTTGAGACAGCACAGTTCCTCTGGGCACCCTTGAACTACATCTCAAGCAGGAAAAGGCAGCATACCCCCCTTTGTCTTACCACCAAAAAGCAAGCCTATGGGATTGTGCCCGATGTTCAATAAGCAGTTGGTAGTGCTAGGAAACCAGTGAACTCTTGCCTAGATATTAGATATATCTTTTAAAGAATTTAGGAATACCTAAATTCCAGAGCAAGGTCTTCATTGATTACTGCCTTCAATGGTCAAAGTCTTCTCACCTACTTTAAGCTCTTGATTGTTTCAGGCTTTTACAATAAAAATGAATCCTGCTCTGACTAAACCCTAGAAAGTAGCTCAGGTATGAGACATCTGCATTAAGCATTTAGAATATTTGGTGATTAATGTGTTTCCCTATGTGCATTTGGTTTCAATGAAGCCAGTTTTAAGTTGGGAAGCAAAAAACAACCCCAAAATTCATACTGAATTACTGTTCTCCAAGACTGCACTAGCAGCCAGATGCAAAAAAAAAAAACTAACCAAAAAAAACCCACCAAAACCAAACCCAAACCCAACAAACCACAAACCCTTCTTTCCTCCAGTAAGCGTGCTGAGCAATCCAGGCTGCTTCCGTATTTCAGAAAAGTTTTATTTGAAACAAATTATTTATGTATTTTGAAAAATCTTCACCTCTACAAGTATTCAGATTAACCTCTGATGAAGACCAGGGTACAAACAACACCTGATTCACAATCAAGAAAGCACAGCTTAAGGCATCATTTCCTTTCCATACAGCTGAACTAGTTAGTGGACATCCCCAAACTGTTCTATGGTATAAAACACAGAATAAAAAAAAAAAAAAGGTAGACCTAACTTACACAAATTTTCAGGACAAAGTTAATCTTATTCCCCTAATATTTTCTTTTAGATCACCATTTTCACAACCATATCTGTTCACTATTCTAACTTAACAACATATCACAAAAACAGAACAGGGATATTTACAACACCCTGCAAGACAAACAGTACAAGGCAAATACATTTCTGACAACTCAAGAGACTTAGAATCAACAGTAAATATAAATTATGAGAATTTTATAAACAGATGCAAGCATATGTTTATATCAAGCCAATAACAAACAGGAATTCATTAATCCCTTTACATCAATCCTATTAGAAAAAGTTGCAAACTGATATTTATAGTATTGAAAGCATCCTTGAATGCAGTTACCTCTGTTCTGGACTGCTGTTAGTAGGCTGCAGAGCTGAAGAAGCCTCTTCTGTAACCTCTGCATTCTCTTCTACTACATATTTACAAGAAGCTTCCTGCGAGGTAGACAATTTTCCTTCCTCACTTAGAAATAAAGAAAGAAGTTATTTAAGTTTACTTGTAGGGAAATTTCAGGCAACAGGAGAAAACTGGGAGACACATCTGTATTTCACATGCAAATGGATTTGAAGTTATGATTGCAACATGAAGATCAAGCACATGGCTCTAGACTTTACAAACACCTACTAATGCACCGGTGTTTATGTCCATTAAAACTTGGCTGGGTAAAAGGTCAGGAAATACAGTGATTACAAATAAAAATAAGAAATAAGGAATGTGTGTGATGCCTGAAGTGGTAACAATCACAATCATGGTCCTTTACTATACATACCGATAGGATTTCAACACTCTGAAGCCAGAAGTACGCAAAAATGGAAGAAAGTATAAAAGAAATCAAGATTCCCTCAGAAACTGGCATTAATAAAGTCTGTCCATGGAACACATCAGCAGAATCATTAACTCATCACCATCTTCATTAATCTCCCTAATAATTCCACAGTAAGATACGATGTATAGGTTATGAGGTACTAAAACTGCAGCCCAGACTATTTAATGAACATCCCCAGGGAGACAAAACCAAACAATTCCGTGAAAAAGCAGTACACTCACACTACAGAGAGCATTACCATGTAACTAGGTAGCCTCAAAAATAATTAGCAAACACTTGCATTTTGCCTCCAATTCAAAGCTTTTCTGCCTCTATCCTATACACTCCCGCCTCAGCCACACCATCATGAGTGCATTATGACAAAAATTTGACCATATACATGCAAGAGATAGTTGTAAGGTATCTCTGAAGTAGAAACAAACATCAACCTTATACTTCTGTGGCAACAAACCTATTTATGCAAGAAATTACGAACATCTTAAGGCTACTGATTTTTCATCCTATTCTTACATTCCTCCTTTCAACTGATCCTTTAAATTTCTATGAATCCTTTTTCAGCTCGTGCCTCCTTGTATCTGCAGAGCCTGCAAGAAACAGTGCTTTACACTGCAAACTCTCATGAAGATCCACTTTTCCCCATCTGAGCTCTCCATCTCATTTGCCTTAATGCCCTTTGCACTTATTTGAAATAAATCACTTGCCACCATCACCATCAGAAATGATCTCCTAATTCTTACTTTTTAAAAAGGCATAGTCTCTATTAACATTCCTCACTTCACTTTTAAGTCAATTCAGAAACCATATTCTTGGACATTGCAGCTTTGCACAAAAAAAAAACAAACAAACCAAACAAACCCCAGTGTGCTTATGATGCTTCTCCTCCCCTCAACATTGACTTCCAACACCATCAGTTTTCTATTGGCAGAAACCTATATAAAACTTAGGTCTGGAAGCATCCACTTTGCCAGGTACACAGGCCAGAGTAGGACCTCCTCTTGCTACTCATCTCTTAATCTAGAATCCTGCCATTATTTTATAAATTTATTCCAAAAGAAACACTACTTTTCTATCCCATTTTTGTTTTGGCGTATTTGGAAGTTGAAGAAAAAAACCACTTGAGCATTGACTCAGTAAGAGACCGCATACCTCTATCACAGTAGAACAGCCTCTGTATTTAATACCTCAGCTTTCAGCTTCCTACATTCCCTTAATCTCCCCTTACCAACCAAATCAAGATCCCAGAGTCCAGTGAAAATTGCTACATGTTTTCAAGATGTGACTGGACAGAGTGCTAGATAATTTCACCTGGGATCCCTTTTCCAGAAAAGGTTGGAGCAGATTATCTTTTGAGATCCCTTCTGACCTGGGCAATTCTATGATACTGCCTCCCTTTGAATCTCTGTATCCTTTCAACTACAAGAATTGATGTGCTAACACCACAGCTCAAGCAGGAACTGGCACTACATGCTGACTCGTCACATTAATTTCTGCACCAGTATCAGAAGTCACAGAACTTCAAAGTGTGGGTGAACTGGTGGTGTTATTTATTGCTTTGATGATCAAAAGGATGGAAGTGAGAGTAACTGAAAGCCATCCAAAACAAATAGTACTTATCTAATAACACTAAGTAAAATGAATTTCAAATAAGAGCAATGAAAGAACAAACACTGGGAATTTTTTTCTACTGAAATGGACTTTTTTTAAAAAAAAAAAAGTTTCAAGATACACAATTTCTTTTCAATCTTTAAAGCTAGAATAGGGACAGATACTAGGAAATTATCCTAAAATAATGAGAAGATGGTTGCATGTCAAAATGCTAGTTGTATGTTCCGATTTGTCAAGACTGGGAAAGGGCAGGAATACACCAGCTGAAATTAATACAGGCATAATTATTTTTGCAGGTCAGACTTAGTAGCTTCTGTTTCCCTACATAAAGATTTAATGCTACATAAAAAGCACTTGATCATTAGATTTAAAGTCATAAAATCTGAGTAGGCAAGATGGAAAGGTGCTTTATTCCCTTGAAAGGATCAAATGTTGATATATACAATATGGAATATAACCATATTGTAAGTCAGCTATTTCTGAATCAAGCACTTTGTATCAGAAGATACCAAAATTAAGGAGTTTGTTCTTCTGGTTATTCTAGAATTCTATGTACCATCAGATCCAGAACAGATGTGTTTGCTTTTCTGTTCATGATGTGTAGGCTTTTTAGAAGTAACACTGGCTCCTGTTTTAAACAAGAAACGACTTTAACTAGTCCAGAACAGATTTAACACCATCATCCATACCACCAACACTGATCATCCCAAATGTCTGACAAGTTACTCAAGAGCAGTGCCTGGCTCGCCTTCATCTTCTGTCCTCCATCCTCCTATATGAAAGGGATGGAGTTCCAATCCAAATCAAACAATTCTGTGCAAAATTCAAAAAGCTTAGCTTTGACATGCTATCAACTGCACATTAAAAGAGTAACTGTAAATAAAAAAAAGAACACAATAATGCGCATTAGGGTCAAAAGTTAGCCAGTCTTCCTCTAATAAACTTCCACTAAAAGCTTGATAAGGAAAGCCTTATGTTATAATAACTACCTGAAAGGAAAATTTCAAAACAAGTACTTTGGAAAAAGGTTTCTAGTTAATGCCCCAGGAATTACCACTTGTAATGAGATTTTTTTTGATGATGTGTAGTGTTCCATCAACAGCGCTTATTTGACAAGGGTGGGAAGACAATAAATAGGTACGCTCACCTTTTGAAAACAGCCGTTTCAGTTTTAGCATCTACAGTAAGGCTCAGTGTCTCCTTCATGCTGCCGTTCATTACTGTTTCAGTTACCTTGTCTGCATTTTCTATATCGTCCTCTCCATCTGAGCTGGCCTCCATGGCAACACTTCCTGGGGCTAGATACACAGAAATAACTTAGTCCATGGCTCATTATCTAATGAGGAAGCATAGAAGTCAATACAACCAGAACGAAATTTTTGCAGTTTTGTACACTTGAATTCTTCCTTACAGAGAAAGGCACCTTTCTGCAAACCCTACTACACACATATATGTATACAGAGAGAAAAAGCTTAAACACCTACAGATGCTTAAGTCAGGTTCCATACCTATTTTTTTTTTTTGCTACTGCAACAGGTTTGCCTGAACAAGGCTTTAGCAGGATTACAGAGATGTATTATTTTTCTGTGCAGTTAAATTTGTTACACAAGCCCATACAGTACAAATGTGACAGGAGGTTTTCAAGTCTTTGGGAAGTCAGACGAGCCTTTGGGAAGTCCAGTCTCCCTGGACTTCTCATCTGCACTTCTCATTCTGTCTGTTATACATGTATAATACATACAAAAAGCTGAAAGCCAAACACGCTAATTAACCAGTTCATAGATGAAGAAAGAATTATTGCATCCATAATGAAGGTAACTTGGAAAGAGATGAGCAGGAAGAGAAAATTTTAACACACAGAGACTACTGGCCTACTGCCACATAGTAGGAGACTAAAGGCTACCTACCACTCTTCTCAGGCATCAGCTCAGCTAATAAAGCACTGATATAGGTCAGGATTTTTTAACAGAAAACACTCAGCTTCTTTTGTAATGCTTTTCTGTTCGTGAGGTGCAGGCTTTTTAGAGGTAAAAGTAACACTGCCCCCTGTTTAAAACAGGGGAGTATTCTAACTAACCGTGATCACCCTAAATGTCTGACAAGTTACACTGGCTCTGGTTTTAAACAGGAAATTCTTTGACAAGTCATTTTCATTACCTGTCAGAACAGAAGCAGAGCCAAATGAGAGGTCTCTGAAAACCCAAATTTTAAAGTTCAAGCTCTTTTTGGGTATAAGTCTTAAAAATTAATCTGTTTGCATTTTAGCATACTTACTCTCTAGGTGTGTTGCAAGAGCAGTTACATTTGCACCCAAGGGATCAATTGGGTCTGTGTTTGTTTCCATTTCCACAGGAGAATTACTTCTTAAGGAATCTTTTGAGCTTCAAACACAAAGTAAAAAAACTTTAGAAACACTTCTAAACAGCAGAATTAAGTGTTCTTAAAACAGTAGTTTTAGTTCTGTATCAAACCTATGAGGCCTACAACTTTACTGAAACTGAATGACAGCAAGTTTGTTTGCAGGAGTCATGGGAAGGCATGCTGAACAGAAGTTTAGTAACGCAAAATCCACCATACCTGAACTGAGTGTGTGTGTTTGCTGATAGGTTTATTTTACCCTTTATTTAGTTTGATTACAAGTAGTAACAGACATGTCCCTGATAAATAAGACCTGGCTCCTTGTAGTGTTTCCAACATGACATGAAACTGACTTTCTAAATGCACTCTTTACAACTTGAAAGACGGTTCTCTGCTGAGACTGCCAACACAGCTCTCACTGTCCACTACAGAAGTGATTTCTGTAGCATAGCTATGAGTTTTTCATTCTGAAGAAACGCAAAAGACAAGATTTGGCCACTTGAAACACTTTCCACCATTTATAGAATGTCTTTCTAGTCACTAATGTGGCAGCTCCAAGACTTTATTTTCTAAACCCTTAATGCTGTCATCAACGTATCTGCCTCAAGCAATAAACTAGTTTACACTGGGGTGTGTGTGTGGGTTGAATAATTCATTTATCTCTAAGCTCTTTAATGCCTAAACAGACAGTTAAGAGCCAGATAATAGGAAGAGTCTGATTGGAGAAGGAATCAGTTCTTGACAGCTAGTATTTGGCGACATAAAATCTACACCTATATGATTAAGTATTACACAGCAGACTTTGGTTATGTTTTATGTGGAGTTCAAGCCAAGAATGGAAAGTGTACCATAGGAATTCTCAAACAGTGCAGAACTGTCTAACCTAAGTACCACAGCTATATAACCATGCAAATTTAAAATAAAAGCGAATACTGACAAAAACCCAAACCTATTTGTCTTATCCATGAAACAGAACCATCACAGACACTTTATGACCCTTACATCCAAGATTCAACCCTTCACCGGGCTCAGTTTAAACTAAAAAATTAATTAAAAAAGAAAAAAAAAATCCAAATTCTGGTCAGAGATCAATATTAAAAGACCCAAACATTCTTTAAAAACCCTCTGAAACAATGACATATTAGCATTTGCCCATCCTACAGACAGGGGGCCCTTTGGACACTACACACCTTGTATTCCACCAGAACACTATCAACACAGGCTTGGGTGGAGATAGACACCCCAAGGAAACCAAGCTTGCCCTGAATCACTAACATTCTTACCTCAAAGAGGATGCAAACTCGGAAAAGGAAACCCAACCAGTTTCTTTTGCTGGCATAGGTTCTTCAGTACTCCACACATCAGACCCAACAGAATCCAGACTGGCACCATGTGCTGTCTCCATGGGTACGTCAAAGTTAGCTGACCAGTTTGGTGCTGAAAAAACAAGTTCATTACGAAGAAATTTAAATAAAGGACATGAGCGCATATATGCCCAACTCGTTGATTCTCTAAACGTACATTCCAAAAAGAGCAGCAAAATTCATAACTAGACTTTAAAGCACATGCAGAAGAATCCTCTTTATACTGTTAAAGATGAATGATTCCCCAAAAGGGAAATTCTGCTAATAAAGCAGAATTTTAAAAATAGTAACTTGGAGTGTTCTGCTAAAACCTGATATAGCTTCTCTGAAGAACAAATCTAATAAACTGTATTAGATCAGAAGTATAATCCCACTTCAGTCTTTAACCTAATAACATTTGTTATAATTTTTCAAAACAGGTATCTTTAACAATAATTAAAAAAAAAAACAAAACCTTAAGAGCTTTCAACCCTTTTTTTGGTTTCCTATGCACATTTTCCTAAACACAGAAAATTATCATGTCAACTTAGACATAGACAGTCTCTAAAATAATTTCTCATGCACTAACACCACTGCTAAGTTTCAGAAAAGTTTAAGGCTTTTTACAACCTAAAATACTTATTTGGATTTTAAATTTTGGAGTAACTTAACAGCATCTAATTTAGGATAGGTCAATTCAAAAATACTTCACCTACCCAAGGGAAACATTTTTGTTAACACTTACATACAAAAAACCAGGCTGTAAAGGAAGCTCTGACTAGCAATTAGAAATTCCAGCCCAGACAGATATGGGAGGAGACCCACATGGATCAAAACTTGTTTGACACACAGATGCCAACGACACCAATCTGACAAAAGAAAAGAAAACCCTTAACTTTTCCTTCTATTTTAATGCAATTCCTTACAGTCTAGATAAACACAGGGTTTTTACCTACTGGTGTTGCCAGTTTAACTAATGCCAATTTAGTCCTCTGCAAATTTAACATGGAAACTTTAAAACCAGTTACATCAGTTAAGTTTCCACATAAGAGTCTACTGACTCACATCTTTCATTCACATATGAAACCAAACCAATGCAAATTCACTTGGCTTTATGTAGGAAGTCTTTCAGAGAGCATTCTTAGATGAAAAGTTGGTCTGAAAGGCTTCCAGTAAAAATAACAAGGTTTTAGGTTTGACAATTAACCTATTAGTTTTTGCAGGCATTCAAGATGTATTAATGCTTACATTTCATCCTTCCCTTTCCAATTCTTCCTTCCCCCCCCCCCCCCCCCCTTTAAAGAGTAGAAACATGCATTTTAGAGAGACTAACTTGACTCAAGACATGTAAGGAATTAAAACTTGACAACATTTGCCAGTCGTTACCCAAAACTACCAAGTCCACCACTAACACTTTATTAAGATAGAATAAAAATGGTAAATGAGGAAGCTACTACAAAATAAGACTGCTAACACTTCTTTAACCCAAAGCAGATGGGAAAAAAAACTACATACGTTCACTTAAGTCTACTTCCATTTTGTCCTCTGTATTGGTGTGTGATTCAAACAAGTCCTGTTTTGTTCCATCCTCTTCTTCAGAATCTGTACTTTCTTCACTGTCAGTGCTGCCCGAACTTAACATACAAAGAAATAGTTTATATTTTGCATTTAGTATCAGACCCTAGCCACAACAAAATACTGGAGAGTTTGAGGCTAAAGAGATTACAGCAGCTATAATTTCTGATAGATTAACAGGTATAATTTGTCAGATGCTAATATTCCTCTCATTTTTCCTCTCAAAAAACCCAGGACTAAAGGATTTTCACTTGATCATGTGAAGAGGCTGTCTCATTTCCCCCCACGTTTAAGACAAAGACTGGTTCTATTTCTGACATGGAAAAGGGAACAGAAAAGGAAAGTAAGGAATCAGATATGTTTACAGAAATTGTTGGTCTATTTTGTTTCTTCACACTAAACTGAAGCACTAAAACACAAAACTTTGTTCAAATTATATCTAACAAGATATAACTTGACTTACTGCAAAGTATCTAACAATAAAACTAGTATATCTATTTTAAAGTATCTCCCAACTGTATTCCAGTCCATCCTTTCTAACTACATACATGCTTTAAACACTACGGGCATCCCTCTCTTTCCTGGTGAGCACAACACAAAAAGCGTGGTAATGTGACAAGGTAAGGAAGTTCCTGAAACGCATCACAGTAAGTAGCCACAATACCATCAGACAAAACAATTGATTTTGTACAGAAGGTATTTGCAACATCCATTTCAAAGGTTGCAAGGGAAGAAGAGATCAGGTTTGTGACTAAAGCCATAAGAAGGTCAGAAAAAACAAGACTACTGTGGAACAAAGTTCAGTAGATATTATGGGAGGCTGCAGAGCTCTGAGAGTTTTGGGGACCAGATGCTCTTTCCCCTCAATGCAGCTTCCTATGTGGGTTTGTCCACAATCACTCCAGTACTTAGAGTTGTCTGCAAGCTCTGCGGAGATACAGAGCTGGACTGTCTTGCCCAAGACAAGAATCATACAATGGTTTGGGTTGCAAGGGACCTTAAAGCCTATTTAGTTCCAGCCCCCTGCCATGAGCAGGGATACCTTCCACTAGACTAGGTTGCTTCAAGCCGTGTCAAACCAGCTTTGAACACTGTCAGGGATGGGGCAGCCACAGCTCCTCTGGACAACCTGTGCTAGGTCCTCACCACCCTCACATGGAAGAGCTTCTTCCTAGTATCTAATCTAAATCTCCCCTTTGTGGGTTTGAAGCCATTCACCCTTGTCCTGTCACTACACACCCTTGTAAAAAGTCTTTCTCCCGCTTTCTTGTAGGCCCCCTTCAGGTACTGGAAGACTGCTGAGCAGGAGGAATGGCTGAGCAGATCTAAAAGCAGTAGGTAAAAAAACAACACCCCAACAAAATTAACAAAAGTTGAAGTACAGGAAGTGCTGGCTAGGCAGGGCAGCTGTTGTCACACCTTGCAGATAACGGCTGGAAGACTGATAGTAGTGCAATCATTCTACTCATTTCTCCACAGAATGGAAATAAGCTAGTTATGCTGGACAGCCTGTGCTAAAAGTCAGCTTGAACCAAAAGACCTGCTCAGTACTGATGTCTCACTGTAGTGTTTACATGAGAGAAACACTTCTCACCTGGAACGCCTCTGAGACTCTGGTGTAAATGCAATATGTTTTTCTTCCCAAATGTCTTCTTCATCAGAGCCACCATCATCAAACTGCTGTATCCGCTCCTTACAGCATGCCTCAAACAAGGCTATATTGCCCTAAAGATGTCAAAAGTAAAAAAATCCGTATTTATGATTAATCATTCTACTTATAAAAAGTGTAAACACTTTTTACACTATATGCCTCTTCTGAAAAGAATCTTAAACCAGTAGGGGTGGTAAAAAAAACAAACAAAAAAAAAAACCAAAACCAAGCCCAAAACTTTTCTCTAAAAGCAGCAGGAAGACAGAATGTCTTAATGACTTAAAGCTTGTCAAGAAAATATTCAGTGGTGCTTGTTTTACTCAAATACTAACAAGCTGAGTGGACTATCAAAGAATAGCTAGGAGTTTCCATCATGTTTAAGAGCAGCATACAAGAATGACACTGAAATGCTTTTCAGATAACCAGACCACCAAGTACTCCAGCTTTATTTTCCGTAGGGGGGTTCATCGCAGCTCAACTGACAAGTAGTATCTAGAGTGGAAGTCTCTGTCCTTACTTTCCTGTCACCGCAATCCCACGGGAAGACTGAAATAGCTTCTATCTGTAAGTGTGCAACAGGCACAAATCAAATCCAAGCCTGTTTTTGAACCTGGCCATACAAATTCAAAGCAATTTTCTTGAATAATGATCTCAAAGAATCAAAACAGTGTCTTCCAATTAGAAAGTCTCAAGACACAGGAACAAGGTAGGGTAGTTATGTTCCAAATGTTACACAAAAGAGTACATATAACAACCACCGCCAAAACTTGAAGGCTGCACTGAAGTTTAAAAGAGTAGTTCTTCTGAGAGTACAGGAACAAATACTTACACTTTCATTCGTATTGAGGGTAAAGTTGATGTCTGAGACCCGATCAAAAGAAACACTATAAAAAATAGCAGATGTATACAATAAAACAAGATGTTGCATTATGACATGAAGACATTTAATTTCTCTTATGTTTCTCATTTTCCAATAATCTAAAAACGTAAGATTAAAGACAAAGTAGTTTCTAAAATTAACACAGTCAAATTCCACATTGAGGAGGCCGGGCATTCAAGTGTGAAATACATTAAACAAAAATACAAGACAATGTTGTCTCTACTCTATATAGTTAGCTGTGAAAATTCAACAAGCTTAAACAAATGCAACTGAAATAATATACGCAAATCTCAAATACTATACTGTTACGCACTGAGAAAAAAAAGTAGATCTCAAGAGTGCCTATTCTGACTACGTTCTACCACAATACAGCTCAAAACCCTGCAAAGATCTATGTTACAGTTCTTGTACCTTCTAGCTCTATACAAGGACCTTCTCAACAGGAAGAGAGAAAGTGGGAAATGTAATATCAACTTCTCTTTCCTAAAGAAAAAAAAAAAGATTTTTTTTTAACCAGTCACTGGAGTCTTTTTTCCAAACCAAACACTAAATACTAGGTTTTACACATCCTCATGTATTAAGTTATCAAGCAGTTTCACTGCAGTGATTACAAAAGTGTCTTTGACTAAGACCTGCATTAGGCAAAATAATTTTCTAGGGGAAGCAAGGCTATAAAGTACCAAGGGCACGATCTTAAAGAAATTCCAACTCCTACCCTTGTCAAAACACAGCTGCTTCTATCAAATTTAAAGAGTATCTTCAGTTGCTTCCTCTCCCATCATATCTTAATCTCGGAAGATTATGTGGTATAAAAAGGCAGCAATGCTTCTTAGATGGCACATGCAAGCTTTAGTGAACCATTGCTTACTAAGCATGTTTCACAGAAGAGCACTGAGACACTTTACTGTATTTTACCCTCCTAGAAACTATCTTGAAGTGATGCTTTTTACCCTTATCTGTATGTTCTTGTATCCCAAGACATGAATTCTTACAAGAATCAGTATCAACTCTATTTTCAGGAAGAACTCCCATTCTTTCCTGTTCCCCTTATGGCATCAGTTTATTTAGATCTTTGGGGGGAGGGGGGGGTGGCTGTTGGTTGGGTTGGTTTTTGTTTTGGTGGTGGTTTGCTTTTCTTTCTACCTGACTTCTTCTCATTTCTTCATCACTTACCCTATTTGTAGAAATAAGTCTCAACTGTCTTGACCTTGAAAACAACAAGATTTACATGCCCTTCCTTAACTCTCCCCTACAGAAAAATACACTCACAGACGTGTTGTTCCTGTCACCTTTTCCAGGAAAACTTAAAAGTAGAGCTATTTATCTTTTCTGGTACACAGATTCAGCAGAGGGGGAATGGGAAGAATAAAATCACTTCTGAGGCACAGAAAAAGTGAAAATGTCCCCAACAATGCAATGCCATTGGACTGGCAGACCTTACAAAAGATACATTATATTTTAGCTATTTATTCACAAGTGCTGTGTTTTCATGTAGGCAAACCCAGGACATTATAAATGGAAGATAAGCTGTTGCTTTCCTCTGTAAACTGTTCAGGGAGGCTTCTATCAATGCACACAGATGATACAAAAAGACAGGACCGACTGACAATTGCCCCACATCAGTAAAGGCTTGTATTTATCCTCAGCAAAAATACAGCCAAAAACACAGTAAGAATGGAAACTCCCAAGACTACAGTCAAAGCCAGTATAACATCATACTCACTTGCCGATGTCATCTTGATCAGCAAACTTCTCATCGTTGAAGCCAAACTGGTCAATAAAATTGGACGTCATTTGTTGCATCTGATAATCAGAAAAGGCCTGGCAACCCCAGGACCAACGACAGTGATATAATGATTCTAACAATACTCTAAATCCTAACTTGCCCATTTTGCTCCAAAGAAATAAAAGTCTCTCTAATCATAACAAAGGACAGGAAAAGGATTTGTCTTAACCTCTGAATTTTAACTGGTAACACTGACTACACACCTAGTTACATCTACTGCCTTGAAAGGTAATAGCAGCTCTCAGAAAGAAAGTTAAATCTCTAGTCCTCCTGTTAATCTCTAGACCTCCAGTTAATCAGTGCGTTTCCAAATGCACCTCAAAACCAGTGAAACACAATACACTAGATAAAAGATAAAGCTATCTTTGTTCAAGATAACATGGATTTATAAATGGTAAGGATTAGAAAATTACATCATATATAGATACTACACCACAGCTGCATATTTATCATGTAGTTATCACTACATCAGTCTCAGTCACACACACCAGCAGCGTCTATTCAGTATGTAGAAGAAGGAAACTACTGAACATTTTACATCTCAATTCAGTGTCACTGACTCAACTGTGCTTTTTTGTATTTAATAAGGATGCCAGTGTCACCTGCCAGCTGATGGGTATATACCCATTAAGGTACACATAGGCATGTTCTCCTATCCATAACAGTAGTTTTTGTCCCTTATTAACGACAGCCTTGGGAAAATGATCACACATTCTCTAAGGACTTCTAGTAGCGTTATTTCCATCGGTAAAGTCAGCCAGTGCTAAGATATCCCAAGAAATACAATTGCCAACTGTCCTGGTTTCTTGCCCAGGGAACTAAACGCACAGAGTATATCGCCAAAACCCCTGAAGAAGGTGGTAAAGCTCAAAAGTCTGGATTAAAGCACTGTGAAAAATGGACAAATAAGGAGATCTACAGAAGGATGATCAGGGCTGGAAGTAGGTCTGAATAGCCTTTGTAAGTGGTAGGGCTAAGCCAGGCCAAAGCAAGAACTCTTTTCCATTTTGATCCTAAATTTTAAAAATCTGATAGTTCTGATCAGGCCTTAATACTCATATAGTCAGCTTATCAGCATTACACAGGTAGACAATCAATTACCAGCTGTCTTACCTATAATTCCTCTGCTTTCCACTAGTTTGAACTCTCCTTTCCTGTAGAGTATATTCAGTATTACAGATATTAAAAAGTGCATGTGACTGAAAGACATTAGTGAGAATTACCTCCATGGGAAGAAAAAACCCATGTAAGTTAAACAGACTTGTTCTGTTTTACAAAAGGTGCAACACCATTCACCAGGATAAACAAAATTAAAGACATGAATTTTATTACATCAGTTAGTTACAAAACTAATGTGAAAGCTTATCACTATGTCAAAATTGTATACAGGAAGTACATGAAACGCAGTTCTGAACTGTTAGCATATCTCGGATCCTAGGCAGTACCATTCCATTCTCAAATCTCCCTCTCATGTCTTTTCAGTATGCTTAAGAGACAAGAAGTGATATTGAGCTAGTGGAGAACAGAGGAGCAATGCTTTCCTGGAGTAGGCATTTCCAGAGCCACAGCAAGACAGCACATTAAATGCCGCTGGCACAAGAAACCTTACAACCCAGAACAATGTGACGGAACATTTTCAACAGTGTCGGTTTGGAAGTGTTATTTAGAAAAGGTGTCTCTGAATAAAAGGGAGAGGAAAAAAAAAACCAAAAAACCTTCCTTTCTGGAACAGAGGGTATTCATTAGAAAACAACAGTATCAAACTAGATTTGGAAAAGCCATAGCCAATGTAATTCTGCACAGGCAGAAGTTAAATTTGACAAAAATAAATCAAAGATGAACAAGTTCCTCAGTATTTTCTCCCCTTATCCAAATCCTAATGGGACCAATTGAATTTTAAAAATCTAGCTCCTATTTCCTCATGTAGCTACTGGTCTAGAATAACATATCCTAGCTGAAGCCAGAGGCACCTTCATGAATGAATTTGTACAGCTGGAGAATGCTCTAAGTAATTTCAATGCATTTCCCATCAGTGACTTATCTTGGCTAGTATCATGCTTTCTTCAGAAGGTCACTTTAGAAAGTATATTTCACAAGCAGAGTGGGGCGGGATGGGGTGAGGGGGAAGACTAAAAAAAGTGGTGACAAATTTGAAAGAGAGAGTACTTCATCTGCATTTCTCCAGATTAGCTACCTGGATTTGAGGATTTTACTTTCTCACTGGAGCTGCTACAGATACCACCCAACTTATCAAGTTTGTAGTCAGGTGCACCTTACACGCACAAATAAAAATAAAATCACTGAATCAGATAAAAATGCATCAGATTCTTAAAACTTCAGCCACCACCCACAACTCACGTTTTGACAAGCATCTACTAACTATCAAACCATAAGATGCATAAAGTTCCAAAGCCAGTCTTAGACTAGGTATTTACTACACAGGTCTTAGTGAGCGCTGAAAGATTTTGATTAATAATGTGTTTGGTATAAGATCTACTGGCAGTCATGTGCCATGTGGTTCCCACTTTCACCAACTGTGAAACAGTTGGAAGAGATGCATATTACAAGTAGGACAGCACTATTACAGAAATGTTGTCATTCTTCATCAAACTGGCACCCAGGCTCTCCATAATCACTCACTGCAAAAATACTCTAACATCATATTAAACCTGGTGTAGTTATCCATTAGTCAGCTTGAAAGCATTAAAACTTCAAGATGGACACAAGTCTGGCTGATGGGAAAATTCCCTAGGCATTCTTCTCTTTTTCATAGTGCCAAATGATAAATAACTATCCTTGAAACACTCATAAATGAGTTGACAAAAGCATATACTGCATTAAAAAATAAGTGATCAAGTTCACTGGAAATTTAGTTCCAGTGATATGGCTATGTATGCTCACCAGGTACCAAAAGTTAAAAACACTCAAGCTGCTACATACAACCTATAGCAAAAGCAAACTGAAAGCCAGATTTGCTTTCACAGGAATTCAAACTTGCCAGAAAACACAATCAGAAGTCACCATTTCAAACTTCTATATCTAGTAAGAACTAAAGTTACTATAGAAATCACGTTTAACTTGGCCAGACAACTGGCATGTAAAATGTGTTTTTAGGCACAGTGAGCAGAGACAGGCATCCACAGCATGATCCAAGACTAACAACTGGAAGGAACACCAAGATAGAGACATGTTAAAAACCATACCTCTCTGATCACAGTTGTGCGCATGCTAATCTAAGTTTAAAGTAAAGCCTTCTAGATTTGTATTTGCTTGTGACAGAAATAGAAATTCCACTGCCTTTTTAAAAAAAAAGGCAAACTCTTATTTATTTTTACAAAGAGCAACTTAATGCTGTTGAAAGAATTCAACTCACCTGCTGCAAAGAAGAATCCTGTGAAAAGCCAGTTTCTTTAAAGTCAATTTCATCATCACTGGAAGAATGAATGTGGCAGGTAGTAACCTATACAAAGGAATTCAGTCATTTGCACAATATATGACAGCCATTCAAGTATATCCGTACTATCTGGCTGAATCTTCATTTTTGTACCAAAACAAGAAACAGTTATTTTTAGTTTTCCAAACTGCTACACCACATAAAACAAGTCCCTGGAATATACAGGGTGATATGGTCCCCCCTGAGCCTTCTCTTCTCCAGACTAAACACCTCAGCTCCCTCAGGTGTTCCTCATCAGACTTGTGCTTCAGAGCCTTCACTAGCTCTGTCACCCTTCTTTGGACCTGCGCCAGCAACTCAGTATCTTTCTTGTAGTGAGGGACCCAGAATGAACACAGGATTTGACCTGCGGCCTCCCCAGTGCTCACAAGCAGATGATCATTTCCCTGGTCCTGCTGGCCATTGCAGCAGAACCTTTTCTTAATTCGAAAACTGCTCTGCAGTGGTCAAACCTTCTACCAGAATGCCAATTAGCAGTGGGAAAAAAAAAAAACCAAAAAAGACACCCAAACAAAACAAACCCCAAAACCTTCCTGTAAAGTCCATTACAAGGTAACTGAGATAGTTATAGAATCATAGAATCGCTCGGGTTGGAAAGGACCTTAAGATCATCTAGTTCCAACCCTCCTGCCATGGGCAGGGGCACCTTACACTAAACTGTGTCACCCAAGGCCTCGTCCTTGAACACTGCCAGGAATGGAGCATTCACAACCTCCCTGGGCAACTTAATCCAGTGCCTCACCATCCTAACAGGAAAGAATTTCCTTCTTATATCCAACCTAAACTTCCCCTGTTTTAAGTTTTAACCCGTTACCCCTTGTCCTGCCACTACAGTCTCTAATGAAGAGTCCGTCTCCAGCATCCCTATAGCCCCTCTTCAGATACTGGAAGGCTGCTTTGAGGCCTCCATGCAGCCTTCTCTTCTCCAGGCTGAGCAGAGTAGAGGGGCAGGATGTCCTTTTTATGTTGAGGACACCTGCACACAATACTCCAGGTGAGGTCTCACAAGAGCAGAGTAGAGGGGCAGGATCACCTCCTTCAACCTGCTGGTCACACTCCTTTTGATGCAGCCCAGGATACAGTTGGCTTTCTGGGCTGCAAGTGCACACTGAAGCCGGCTCATGTTCATTTTCTCTTCAACCAACACCCCCAAGTCCTTCCCCACAGGGCTGCTCTGAATCTCTTCTCTGCCCAACCTGGAGCTGTGCCTGGGATTGCTCCGACCCAGGTGCAGAACCTTGCACTTGGCATGGTTAAACTTCATAAGGTTGGCATTAGCCAACCTCACAAGTGTGTCAAGGTCCCTCTGGATGGCATTCCTTCCCTCCAGCGTATCAACCGAGCCACAGAGCTTGGTGTCATCGGCAAACTTGCTGAGGGCGCACTCAATCCCACTGTCCATGTCAGCAACGAAGATGTTGAACAAGACCGGTCCCAACACCAATCCCTGAGGAACACCACTCGTAACTGGTCTCCAGCTGGACATTGAGCCATTGACCACAACTCTTTGTATGCGGCCATCCAGCCAGTTCTTTATCCACTGAGTGGTCCATCCATCAAATTGATGTCTCTCCAATTTAAAGACAAGGATGTCGTGTGGGACAGTGTCAAACGCTTTGCACAAGTCCAGGTAGATGACATCAACTGCTCTACCCCTGTCCATCAGTTCTGTAGCCCCATCAGAGAAGGCCACCAAATTGGTCAGGCAGGATTTCCCCTTAGTGAAGCCATACTGGCTGTCACCAAGCACCTTGTTGATTTTCATGTGCCTTAGCATGCCTTCCAGGAGAATCTGCTCCAAGATTTTGCCAGGCACAGAGGTGAGACTGACTGGTCTGTAATTCCCTGGCTCATCCATTTTCCCCTTCTTGAAAATGGGGGTTATATTTCCCTTTTTCCAGTTGTCGGGAACTTCACCTGACTGCCATGATTTCTCAAATATGACGGCCAGCAGCTTTGCAACTTCATTCGCCAGCTCCTTCAGGACCCACGGATGGATTTCATCAGGTCCCATGGACTTGTGCACGTTCAGATTTTTAAGATGGTCTCGAACCAGATCCTCTCCTACAGTGGGCGCAAGGTCTTCATTCTCACAGTCCCTGCATCTGCCTTCGAAGACTTGGGTGGTGCAGTCAGAGCCTTTGCCAGTGAAGACCAAAGCAAAGAAGTCATTCCGAACCTCAGCCTTCTCCAAATCCAGGGTAGCCAGTTCTCCTGAGAGCTTCCTGAGGGGGCCTACATTCTCCTTAGTCTGTTTTTTATTTGCTATGTACCTGTAGAATCCCTTCCTGTTATCTTTAATACCTCTAGCTAAGTTTAATTCTAACGGGGCCTTAACTTTCCTAACCTGGTCCCTAGCTTCCTGGACAACATCCCTGTATTCTTCCCAGGCCACCTGTCCTTGCTTCCACTTATTATAAGCCTCTTTTTTCAACTGAATTTTCCTCAGGAGCTCCCTATCCATCCAAGGAGGTCTCCTGGCCCTCCTGCTGCACTTCCTTCTGATTGGGATGCAGCACTCCTGAGCTTGCAGCAGGTGATCCTTGAATATCAACCAACAGTCTTGGGCCCCTCTGCCCTCTAGGGCTGTATCCCATGGAACCTTCCAAAGCAGGTTCCTGAAGAGGCCAAAGTCTGCTCTTTTGAAGTCCAGGGCAGTGAGCTTGCTGCACGCTCTCCTCACCGTCCTGAGGATCTCAAATTCGAGCATCTTATGATCGCTGCAGATAGCTCTGCTACACGTTCACTTCTAAGTCTCCAGTTACTGTTGTTTTATAAAATGTACTAAGAACTTGTTTGAAAGATAAAAAAGCCCAAGTACTAGTCTCACGGCTATAGCAGCAGTTCATTATGCAAAGGGCTGTAGGACCACATACCTTCTTCCAGTACAGTGAAAGAGCAATCTTTGTTGATCACTAAGTGGCTGAAGCATTGAAAGTATTCATGAGATCAGTTATGTCCATAGCCTTCACATGTCTAACTTATTTACATATCTTTAAAATAAACTACACAATGTAGGAGTATGCATACAGACCAGATCATCTTAGCTTAGTAAATCCAGTAAGTTGACTGAAGATCACATGTAACAGTAGACCACAGTTCTGCCACCTAGGTCAGGAACTATGTGCTTAACTATTTGTACCACCCATGACTAGATTCCGCTCAACAGCTTGCTTAGGACCGAGAAATTCTGAATCAAATAAGTCTACTCATCTGCACAACAAAAATTTTAAGGCTAATCTTCAGAAAATTAGGAAAGGTGTGCTTAAGATCTTACTCTGGAGACATTATGAATCAACAATTCAGATCAGGTATAAATACTAGTTCCTAAACCTATTGTTTTAGCTCAGGATACTTTCTTCAATTTTAAGAGCTCAAACACCCAGATGTACCTGGAGAGTACGTGTCTATGGAAACCTAAGAGTGTATATATGGGACAGTACCTCTGGGAAGAAATACTGGGGGGCTGTGCTTCCGGATGTACCCACACAGCAATCGTAACTTAAATATGATTCAGTAAGACAACAGGCTCAACTTTCTACAAGATCTGTCTTTTAGTAACTTCTACATCACACTGCACTATACATTACTGCTTATCTTTGAGCTAAATGCTAACCCAAGGCTCATGAGAAGTGATCACGCAAGCAGAAACGAAGACTAGAAGTTCAGAAATTCAAAAGACACAGTATTTTCAAGGTGGCGTTTTAGCTACAGGAATTTATTTTAATGCTCTGTGTTCCTATTCAACTGAATATTGTGGAGTTTGGAGATACGTTGTAAATGAGGTTTTACTGTTGTTACATCAAGTATGTCCAAGTAAATGATCACACATCTAAAGATCTAATTATAATGTTTTTAACTATATATATCAGCTTAAAATTCTGCCTCTTCAGATGACTTGACTCTTGGCCTTGACGAAGAAGTAGCTTCTAACAAGAGGAAAATAACATTATTCTACGAGCACTATGAACTTCTTTGTATTTTTGCCATGAGGCTGTGAATGCCAGCTGTACTATCCTGGTCCTCTCCGCAAGTTGCACAGTTTCAGATTAATTTCCTATTGCTTCTACTGCCACACATTGTGTCAGCATTATGTTCCAGTTGCTATATTGTGCTGAAATAGCAAATTTAACAGACTATTAGTATTACAGACCAAATATAGCACCAGCACAAGTTAAAGAAGCCACATGCAAAGCACTCCAGTCCTGGAGAAGTCAGGTATACTCACTAACTCATCTGCTGACACTGGAACCAGCCTCTGCTTGTTAAAGTCTCCAAGTGCTTACTCTTGAACTATAGCTTTAACGTGAGAACACAAAACCTCTTCACACTTACACTTCAGTTTAGCTTTTTCCTAAAAGTGGAATCACTACTGCTGTGCACAGAAATGTAACACATGCACAAGAGAGGTATGCAAAGTATCTTAAGTAGGGTCAGTGACACATGCAATGGGACGCAGGTAGCATCTTCCCATTAAATTTACATAGGCTCATTTACACACTGTCGATAAAGCAATTTAATATCAGCTCCTGCAGTTTCAGTTTGCAATCTTCAAGCAGACAGAAGCTTTCAAGGTCACTCACTTGAAGCTGTATAGAAAACTTCCTTCTTGGTCTGAGATAAGTTATACAAACTGAGCTACTGCAAGATTCCCGTACAAAATATTAATGATACAGTGTTGAAAAGTAAAATAAAGAATTATCAACTCAGCAACTAGATGTGCTTGTTGACAAAAGCACCATAGGTAACTAGGTTGTGCTGCTGACAAAAAGAAACTGGTCCCAAGTAAACAGCCGCAATTTTGATACCTTACCCACCCTTACTTACCAGGTCCACTGTATTCCTCTTGTTAGTTTCTCCTAAAGAGTTTGTGCAGAATGTCTCCCATCGCTCTCTGACCTCCTCTGGAAGCTCTAGGGTAGGAAACAGCAAGACATCCTCAATTTGATACTACTGACAATGGAGCATGACTTTAATTTTCTCTTCTGCTATACCAGAATCCTCTTAAATCCTTAAGGATTATTCCATCCAGTTAAGTCTAAATAAAGTAGGTCAGCATTTCATTGCATTTAAGCATACATTTAAGGGTCACAGACTCACCACAAAGCCACAGAAAGGTTTGAGTTGGAAATGAAAGTTGGAAATGAAAGTTGGAAACTCATCCAGTTCCAACCCCTTGCCACAGGCAGGAACACCTTCCACTAGACCAGGCTGCACCAAGCCCCATCCAACCTGGCCTTGAACACTGCCAGGGATGGGGCAGACACAGCTTCTCTCGACAACCTGTGCCAGCGCCTCACCACTCTCACAGGGAAGAACTTCTTCCTAATATCTAATCTAAATCTCCTCTCTGTCAGTTTAAAGCCATTTCCCCTTGTGCTGTCACTACATTCCTTTGTAAAAAGTCCTCCAGCTTTCTTGTAGCCCTCTTTTAGGTACTGGAAGGCTTTGCGTTTAAGGACATCTTGTTTTAAATGGAATGTGTTAAGAAAGTATTCTTCTTTTACCCAGTAGCTGCCTTTAATTTACATTTGATTAATTTCCTCAAAATTTGATAATGAAAGCCATAAAGACAAATGTAAGGCCATTAACATTACCTTTAATGAGCTGCTGAACTTGTGTACTGTTTGGCCCCTTATCTGTACTGTGCACAATGCAGTTTGCTATCCGTGTCAGATGACCCATATAGCCATAGCGTCTTCCTCCTTCAGCCCTGTGAGAGACAAAAGGAATTCAACTGCCCACATTCTGAGCAACTGCACCACTGTATTTCATTATGCAACACTCTAGCAGAGTCAAGAAGTTACCCATGACAAATACTGCAGGGGTTCTTAAACAATAGTTGTTTTCTAAACCCGAAGGTTCCCAAAAGGCTCAGGAATTAAAGATACCAACTGGTTTGACTACACTAAGACAGTTTGGAAGACTTACTTATTAAGAAATATCTGTTCCTGAGAGTATTTTTCTAAACCCCAATACACCAAACATTCTCTCAGAGCTTTAAGTTGATGATAAGAAAAGAAAAAATACTTAAATCCTAAATGTGCTCTAGCACTGCAGATTAACATTTCATTTAGCATACAGAGCTGGAAAGGTACTACCAACTGAATATGTTTAGATCACTGCTTTTTTAGGAAGGACATTTAAGTAACATACCAAAAGCAAAATTACAAGGCAGTCTGCATATTTTTTGATAACTGAACTGCTTTGTAGACACAGAAATTGCCAGTTTTTATGATGCAGAATCACAGAATCATAGAATAGTTAGGGTTGGAAAGGACCTTAAGATCATCTAGTTCCAACCCCCCTGCCATGGGCAGGGACACCTCACACTAAACTGTGTCACCCAGGGCTCTGTCCAGCCTGGCCTTGAAAACCACCAGGGATGGAGCATTCAGAACTTCTGTGGGCAACACATTCCAGGGCCTCATTACCCTTACAGAAAAGAACTTCCTCTTATATCCAGTCTAAATCTCCCGTTTAAGTTAACCCGTTACCTCTTGTCCTGCCACTACAGTCCCTAATGAAGAGTCTGTGACAAGCATCCTTGTAGGCCCCCTTCAGATACTGGAAGGCTGCTAATGAGGTCTCCACACAGCCCTCTCTTCTCCTAGGCTGAACAGCCCCAACTTCCTCAGCCTGTCTTCATATGGGAGGTGCTCCAGTCCCCTGATCATCCTCATGGCCCTCCTCTGCACTTGCTCCTTTTTATGCTGAGGACACCAGAACTGCACACAATACTCCAAGTGAGGTCTCACAAGAGCAGAGTAGAGGGGCAGGATCACCTCCTTCAACCTGCTGGTCACGCTCCTTTTGATGCAGCCCAGGATACGGTTGGCTTTCTGGGCTGCAAGCACACACTGAAGCGGGGTCATGTTCATTTTCTCAACAACCAACATCCCCAAGTCCTTCTCCACAGGGCTGCTCTGAATCAATTCTCTGCCCAGCCTATAGCTGTGCCTGGGATTGCTCTGACCCAGGTGCAGGACCTTGCACTTGGCATGGTTAAACCTCATGAGGTTGGCATCAGCCCACCTCACAAGTGTGTCAAGGTCCCTCTGGATGGCATTCCTTCCCTCCAGCGTATCAACCGAGCCACAGAGCTTGGTGTCATCGGCAAACTTGCTGAGGGCACACTCAACCCCACTGTCCAAGTCACCGACAAAGATGGTGAACAAGACTGGATTTCATCAGGTCCCATGGACTTGTGCATGTTCAGGTTCTTAAGAGGGTCTCGAACCAGATCCTCTCCTATGGTGGGCCTAGGGTCTTCATTCTCTCAGTCCCTGCATCTGCCTTCCAAGACTTGGGTGGTACGGTCAGAGAATTTGCCAGTGAAGACTGAGGCAAAGAAGTCATTCCGAACCTCAGCCTTCTTCAAATGAGGGGTAGCCAGTTCTCCTGATAGCTTCCAGAGAGGGCCCACATTGTCCCTTGTCTGTCTTTTATTCACTATGTACCTATAGAATCCCTTCCTGTTATCTTTCACATCCCTAGCCAAGTTTAATTCTAACTGGGTTTTAGCTTTCCTAACCTGATCCCTAGCTTCCCAGACAACGTCCCTGTATTCTTCCCAGGCCGATGATGATCAGGTGGAACCATCCTATATCTGATCAAAAGAGCTGAAGTGAGAGCTCTGAATTAGACTGAATTTCTAGCCCTGAGCTATAAACTAACTAGACATTTGCTGCATCAGCTTTTTAAGGTTTCATGCTTCTAAAATTAAAAAAAAAATATTAAAAAAAGCAAAGAAATTAAGACAGACCCACTCAGCTAGACAAATCTCCCATAAACTTGAGTGAGATCTTTATAAAGTGACAGCAGTTCAGGAAAGAGATTATGACATTTCTTGATTTTCCACCTTTATAATCTAGCACAAGGTAACTGAAATCATGTTATGTCAGTGCAAGATGTCATAAGTAAAGCGTTCTTTACAGGAACAAAGTGAGAGATTTCTGTCTTATTTCTACAACTGCTTAGGTACCAAGTACATTCAAAACAAGCAACATGTGATGATGGCAAAAGGTTATAATTTCTAATACATGGTATTCCATAGAGAATGTTTGAACTGACTTGTAATTGCCTAGGCAAAAAATCTGGAATACAATTGTATCTTCTATCAGCAAATGCTTATTAATACCAGTGAAATAAACAGCTTTTTACTATGTCACACTTTCACCAGCAGAAAGCAGTCACCCTCAAGCTTCTAGAGCTGCGCAACATAAAGTGACAGAATAAAAACGCATAAAAGAAATAATCAATTTCCTGGAGCAGCTAAGCTAAAACATACCTTCATATTATCTTACAGACTTACATTTTATATTTGGAGTCGTACCTTTGCAAAATTGGATAAAGGAATGAATTACTTACAGCAGTCTGCTCCCTTCTAACAAATACATTTTCTTCTGGATAAAAAACACAATCTGAGGTTGACAACAACATCGTCCACAAATACTTGAAAACGTGAAATTAAATGTTTCATTCATCCATATAGAAAGCACGGGATCAAGAACATTCTTACTCAAAGAGTAATTTTAAGTTGCCATCTATAGAAATACCTTTCCATAATTCTCTCCTATGGGAGTCTAGTTGGACTCTGACCTCATGAGAACACAACAAAAAAAACAAAAAAATAGACATTTGGGAAAGCATGTTTTCTACAGTTCAGTTGTTACATTCCCTTTCTTCTGTACCATCCTCTTCATACATACTTGAACATACTTATTTTCAAGTCCGTTACAATAGTAGTACTTACTACATAGTTCACATCAAACAGGAAGAGGAATATTTTGAGGAGCAGACCTGTCTCAAATAACACACAGCAAAACCAGCAACACCATCCCAGCCAGCTAATTTCAGTATTTTGACAAGTTAAAGCTAACATTTAATGTTTAGTATTTCCTAAGCCTTCAAGAGAGCTATTCTACCACCTCAGGTGAAGACAGAGGTTTTTTTTCCTCCTGCTACAGTTTCAGACAATGCTAGCTACTTGAAACTTCCATTCTTTCAGAAACATGTACTTTTAGAAAATAATCATTGCTAAGGACTTGGCTTTTACTACTCAGAGTCTGTTGCTCCCCAGTATATAATACGCTTTGATGTCTTTATAAATAATTTTCAACTGCTTACTGGAGAAAAGTATTTAGAGAGCAGACTTTGGCCTCTTCAGGAACCTGCTTAGTAAGGTTCCATGGGATACAGCCCTACAGGGCAGGGGGGGCCAAGAGTCTCGGTTGATATTCAAGGATCACCTGCTACAAGCTCAGGAGTGTTGCATCCCAACCAGAAGGACGTGCAGCAGGAGGGCCAGGAGACCTCCTTGGATGAATAAGGAGCTGCTGAGAAAACTTCAAAAGAAAAAGAGGGTTATAAAAGTTGGAAGGAAGGACAGGCAGCCTAGGAAGAATACAGGGATGTTGTTCGGGAAGCCAGGGACCAGGTTAGGAAAGCCAAGGCCCAGTTAGAATTAAACTTGTCTAGGGATGTGAAAGACAACAAAGGGATTCTATAGGTACATTACGAATAAAAGACAGACTAGGGACAATGTGGGTCCCCTCAGGAAGCTCTCAGGAGAACTGGCTACCCTGGATTTGGAGAAGGCTGAGGTTCGGAATGACTTCTTTGCTTCAGTCTTCACTGGCAAAGGCTCTGACCACACCACCCAAGTCTTGGGAGGCAGATGCAGGGACTGTGAGAAAGAAGACCTTGCGCCCACTGTAGGAGAGGATCTGGTTGCAGACCATCTTAAGAACCTGAATGTGCACAAGTCCATGGGACCTGATGAAATCCATCCGTGGGTCCTGAAGGAGCTGGTGAATGAAGTTGCTAAGCCACTGTCCGTCATACTTGAAAAATCATGGCAGTCAGGGGAAGTTCCTGATGACTGGAAAAAGGGAAATATAACCCCCATTTTCAAGAAGGGGAAAATGGATGAGCCAGGGAATTACAGACCAGTCAGTCTCACCTCTGTGCCTGGCAAAATCTTGGAGCAGATTCTCCTGGAAGGCATGCTAAGGCACATGAAAACAAGGTGCTTGTTATTCAACACTGTCCCACAAGACATCCTTGTCTCTAAATTGGAGAGACATCAATTTGATGGATGGACCACTCAGTGGATAAAGACCTGGCTGGATGGCCGCACACAAAGAGTTGTGGTCAATGGCTCAATGTCCAGCTGGAGACCAGTAACGAGTGGTGTTCCTCAGGGATTGGTGTTGGGACCGGTCTGGTTCAACATCTTCGTCGCTGACATCGACAGTGGGATTGAGTGCGCCCTCAGCAAGTTTCCAATGACACCAAGCTCTGTGGTTCGGTTGATTCACTGGAGGGAAGGAATGCCATCCAGAGGGACCTCAACACACTTGCGAGGTGGGCTGATGCCAACCTCATGTAGTTTAACCATGCCAAGTGCAAGGTCCTACACCTGGGTCGGAGCAATCCCAGGCACAGCTACAGGCTGGGCAGAGAAAAGATTCAGAGCAGCCCTGTGGAGAAGGACTTGGGGGTGTTGGTTGATGAGAAAAAAATCAACATGAGCCGCCTTCAGCATGTGCTTGCACCCCGAGAAGCCAACTGTATCCTGGGCTGCATAAAAGGAGTGTGACCAGCAGGTCAAAGGAGGTGATCCTGACTGGAGCACCTCCTATATAAAGACACTGAGAAAGTTGGGGCTGTTCAGCCTAGGATAAGGGAGGGCTGCGTGGAGACCTCATAGCAGCCTTCCAGTATCTGAAGGGGACCTACAAGGATGCTGGTCACAGACTCTTCATTAGGGACTGTAGTGACAGGACAAGAGGTAACAGGTTAAAACTTAAACGGGAGATTTAGACTGGATATAAGAGGAAGTTCTTTTCTGTAAGGGTAGTGAGGCACTCGAATGTGCTGCCCACTGAAGTTGTGAATGCTCCATCCCTGGTGGTTTTCAAGGCCAGGCTGGACAGAGCCCTGGGTGACACGGTTTAGTGTGAGGTGGCCCTGCCCATGGCAGGGGGGTTGGAACTAGATGATCTTAAGGTCCTTTCCAACCCTAACTGTTCTATGATTCTATGATTTCCTGTCCTCTTAAAACTTATGGTGTGTTCTTGTAATTTAATATACATGAGTAGACTTTAAAATTTTTAAATATCATAGTAATATATATGACAAGAATGACAAACTAGCATATTCTCCAATGGTCATGGGAAAAAGCATTACTATGCTACTAAAATATAAAGAAAGATTTAATTTAAATATTAACATTTGAGTGTCTTAAGAACACTGCCAGTGCAGCTATGAATTAGTCATACATCCACTTCACAATTCAAGTCTTATGTAGACAATTGCAGGTAATAAGAAAACCAGTTACTCACTGTTTCTTCTCATTCATCTCCCATGCTTCAAGTATTCGTTCTATTAATTGGCACTTAAGGAAGAGCTATCAAAAAAATTAAGAGCAAAGAATGCTTAGCAGCAGTAAAGTGGAACGCTATAATGCATTTTAGGGTTGTTTTTAACACATACTGAAGCCTTGCAAGACAACTAATTTCAGGTTCAGGATAAATAATTTCGAAGCATTTAAAAAGTTAATAAGCAGCAGTCATACCCCAACCAGAAATCTGAAAGCTAAACCTACGTTATTTCAACTTCTCTTTGCAGCTGCTGAGTTGTGGTAGCATAAAGCTACTGAAATAGAATTTTTATTCTTAAAGTAAGAGGAACTCCTCCTTGAAGGAGGATAAGTATTTGCAGGTCTGCACTCATGCCTCCTTCAGAGCAGCAAGTCTACTCTATGGCACTTTCACGTTTAACACCCTAAATGGACATAATAAAGAAAAACAGAAATACTCCTATTCATTCCATAAATAAAGTAAAATCAGGATATGTTTTATGTAAGAGTAACTGCTACCACAGCTGGGAAACAGAAAAATTCAAGAGATTCCCCAAAACCCAGAACTTACATGTTTCAGCAAGAGATTGTCCCCAGTGGAATCCTGATCTGTAATTGTGCCATTTTCTGTGCTTTCAAGAGGATTTGCAAGAATCAATGCAATACAAATTTCTACTTGTGTATGCAAAAAGTTATTCCATGTGTACTTAAAGAACATGTCCTGAAAAAAGAAATTCAACAAGGTTTACACAAACCAAGGTCTTTTCATTAAACACAACCAATAGTCTCACTCCAGCAAGTCATCTGAATTATTACACTGGAACAAATTCTGTAAGTTTTACAGTAAGTATTATTGTGCAAGAAAACCCTTGTAACCTACAAAAAAGTTAATTATTGTGCTTGCTATAATCTGAACACAAGGACTAGAATACTGGATCAGAACAAAAACTCAACTCTAACTGAATTTTAAGCTGTGGTAACCCATAATGCATGTTCAGAGAATGAAGGAAGGAATGACCTTCCCTACTTACACTGCTTCTAGCTGCAGCCCAGAGTCACTGCAAGTCAAAAGTATAATTAATGCCCTGAGCAGGCCTTGAGACTCCTCTTTGAGTTCACTTAATCTTCTAGCATCTACAATACTGTTTATAATGTGCTCCCCACTTCAGTGACATCCCTTACAAAATTATATCTACCTGTTTTGAACCCATCATCTACTAATTTTATTCTAGTATTATAGAAGGCTACCTCAGATAATCTAGATGCAGTTTAAGATTATTAAATGCATTACACAAGACAGAAAAATATGAAGTTGAGATAAAACAGTGTTCATTTATTTGTATTCCTGGTTCTCCACATTTTCCCTCTTAAAGATTTTTTTCAAGCTCTACGTCGTTTTAGACTGACTGCAAAACTCAAATGACTGCTGTCACTAGTGAAATGAATTTAATTAATGCAATTGGAACAGTATTAAAAAATTTAAGTCTCATTCAAAACACAGCTAAAGATTCCAAATCCCTCCAAGTTTCCTTCAGTCCTCCTAAACTAAAGACATCCTTCCATACGCTACTAGAGCTAAACAATTACTTTTCCTAACAGTCAAGTGTGCACAGTATAGCATTCGTGTTGCAGCAAATAGCACAAAGCACCAAGAAGTTTATATGGCTATAATTATTTTTTTCTCTTTATATAAAACCTGCAATAGAAAAGCATGTTCAAACCTCACTGAATTTGGTTTACGAAATAACCTCCTTATAAGAACATGTAGGTGTTCACAAGATGTACATTCCCATAGACAACACACCCAGGAAATAGGTTATGGCAAACTTAGCACCTGGTTGCAAACCCAAGTTATGCAGAGGAATTCCAATGAAGACATTACAAATGTAGTTGTATTAATCAGTTGGAGCAAAAAGTGATTTTAGACTAAAACCATCTGGGGCAAAGAAAATACTTACACTGTAAGTTTGCAACTGCCTGCTTGGAAGTTTACATTTTGTATTCAGAAGCTATACTATAAGTTCCAGTATTTTTTGCTGTTTTTTTGTTTTTTTTATCCAATTACCAACATTTGCATTTTTTGGTCAACCTAAATACAAAGAGTATGTCCTGCTACAGCTGAAGTACAAAGCAGGTAATACTTACAGTACACACTCCACATTTGCAAAATCAGCGAGCTAACTGACTGAAAGTTTGTTGTGCAACATACTGGTTTTAGAGGACTGAAGGCATATAAGCCACCAAGAATATCTGTCCCTTTACGGGACAATGCTGAGATACCATTTGATGTGATGGGTATTATTGAGAGGAAAAAAGGTTTTGAGGGAACAACTTAGGAAAAGAATGAAAACAAGCAGGGGAAGCCTTGAACATGGCTGAAAACTTGAGAACATAAAGGTGAAAAAATAAGCCTGTTAAGAAAACCACTTAATGTATTTATGAGGGTGTAGAGGATAAGAACAATTCAAGTGGTCAGAGGAAAATTCATGTCAGAAGTCAACATTTAACAGTAAAACCCACTATTAAGGGGTCTTAAATGGTGCAACAAAAGCCACAGCAGTCTGAAAAATTAGGCTACTAAATTATCATCTGCACTGACAGAAAAAAATATTAGATCTTAGTAACAATCCATAAAAATAAAGGCAGCATAAAGTTCTTACCAGTATTACTCCTATGCTGTTAAGCTCTATAAGTTCCTGATTCACACTGCTTGTATTCGTCTGTAGAAGGCTAGATATTAATCTAATCACATTTAAACGCGTGTTTCCCACAGGTGGATCCAACACACCCCAGGTTGTCTTCATGACACTTTTCTGAGAAAGAAAATTGTACATACATAAAACCCATTAAAATACCAGCTCATCATTACTGTGCACAATGACAGAGTAGTGCTTAAAATATATATACAATTAGTCCTTAAATCTTGCCTTCACCCTGCAAACCCCTAATTTTTTATTCTGAACACTACAGCTTATTTTAACTAAAATTAGCCACACAAAACAGTAAAAACAGACATGAGATCAACGACATAAAAATTTATTGTTAACTACAGAGACCATCTCCAAGTAGATGCATTCTACCCAGTCCTGAAAGGAATTAGGAGATACTTCCTAGGAAATGCTTCTTGTTAGTCAATCCAGCTATAGTCTACATTGCTACAATATACACAAAAGACCTAGGTGAACAGTCTATGAATATTGTAATGAAATATTGTAAGAACTCAACAAACCAAGCCTAACTTAAAAGCAACTTCAGTAAGCAACGAGCTCCTCTGGTGTCTTATTCTCACGTTAGCCAGTTAAACAAGAACTGGGTCACATAACCAGCCAGTAAGAAAAACTGGTATTAGCTACTCTAAGACCTAAAAATCTTGTAGAAAGTATGCAATAGGCAGGAAAATCCATAATGAAAATATCCTCCTATCTTAATGTACAAACACATTTTGACAAGACCACTATCACTGGATGTTATTTGCACCAGAAAAAGAAACTGACATCCTGCTAGTTTGTTTATGCCATTCCTTACATATGACAAAAATCTAAGGATGCTCAAAATGCGTATTTTCTGATGGTTGGGCATACTTAGCTCATCTAGTGAAGTCACTGAATATGTTGCTCAAGTATCTAATGTGACCTTGCTTTTATTTTAATATAGACCTGTACCTTGCCAGGTTGTTGCAATAAAGACAACACAGTTTCTTTATTACCTCTTCAGCATTTTGAAAATTTGAGGTCTCATCTTCTTTACGCTAAAAGAATACCACTTTGACCCCCCACCACGTGGTACTTCATGCACCTCTGGTCTTTATTTTCACTTTGGCACACAAGTCCTTTTCCTTTATGGACTATGGAACGCAGTTTAGGGTGCTGTGCTTTAGCTGAAATTCTGCAGTGACAACAGATCATAGGTAAACCCCCTATTTATACATCCTGTATTTATCTTTTGCAACATCATGACATAGGTAAGTTGCCTGACTCAGTTAAAAAGCCTAAAGAATTTAACATGCTTAGAGAGCGCAAGGTATGTGCTGCGGAGCTAGTCTACTTGAGTTCTGGGTGAGTCTAGGGGAGTTGTGCAGGCCTCATCTGGGCCAATGTTCCCAACAACTACTGCATCCATAGTCTGTATTTCTTATTCAGATCAGATTTCCAAGCAGAAAGCAGGACCCACCTTAAGCATATATGGCAAATCTCTTTTCATTGCTTTCTGAAAAAAGTAATTGCTTCAAGGCTATTCTGCCAATTAAACAAAGTTTAAACTGGAAAAGCGTATCAATTCACAGAACACATTGGCTCAGGGACAAGAATAATGAACAGCAAAGCTTTCAAGAGGCTAGAAAGAAGCCTGGGCACTTGCCCAAAGTTTGTCAAACTGGGTTTGCTTTGTTATTATCGCCTGCGTGAAACACAGTCACACTGTGACAGTCTTGTCTCAATTAATTTGGTAACACAAGGTTTCACTTACTTTTGGAGGCTCAAGTAGGAGTTCATGGAAGGATGAAAGTCGTGCTTTTATGGCTTCTAAAACACTTTTATTGACTGAATATTTTGAATTGCTCATGCCAGGAGGACAGATCTCTATATGGCCTTCAAATCTAAAACACACACAAAATTTGATAATTAATATCAAAACTAGTTGTAAAACATCTTTAAAGTATTATTTTGAGTGTGTCATGGTTCTGAAGCCATGTGAAAATAATGAAGCAAGTAAAAACATAAGATTACAAACACAACGTGTCAAGTAACAGCTGAGCAAGATTTTTCCAAACACTAGCCCTAGTATTTTTAGGTTTATTGTGCTTGAAACTCCAATATAGTTTTGAGATTATACATTACAGTTGTTCTATTTCCTCTTTTGAGGCACATGAAGAGTTTCACTCATCTATCATATATCTATCTATGATATAGTGGTACATAAACAACTTGAATGTACCAGAGAGGACAGCAGTTCAGCAGTTTCTCAACATTAGGTTGTTAATAAAATTAGAAATAACCTTTTTAAAAGTCAATACCCCCTCACTTTACTGTACCTATTTTCATCAAATTCTTTCTGGATACAAGGAAGAGAGTAATGTAATTAGCCTGAGCTGTCAAGTGGTAGCTTCTAGAAAAAACAGCAGAAAGACCAATCATTTGGTGAAAGTGTAATAACACCAACTGCAATCACTTGGTTTGTACTTTTACCTCTTCAGTTACAACAGGCCACAAAAATGATTCAGTCATAAGTATGTGAAGACACTATTGCTGAACAGTAGCTACATTATGAAGGCATAATTTAAGTGAAAAAAGAACACTTACGTCTGTCGTCTTGTCTCAAGTAAGGTCAATAGTATTTGGATTGCACTGACTATTGCAGATTCATTTTTTTCTTTATGAAAAATATTAGATAGCAGCTGCTCTATGATTTCTTGCCTGAAAAGAAAAGTACTGGCATCAGATAAAACACTACCTCCAAATACAGCTGTTAACAGAAGTAGCTACCAGGTGTGCATGTAAAATTAATAAAGGAATACAGTGAAAACCAGTAGCTATTTCAAGCTAGCAAGTACCACTATGACAATCACTCCCATCCTCACTGTCCTGATCATATTTTCCTATTCCTTCCATTGATCTAGGTTGAGATCCTTCTATAGGATCTACTGAGAAACAGCACTACAAAAAGGAACTTTTCAGTCAGACCAAAAACCTGATTCAGCTTCCCACAACAGCCTCACAAACCTAAACCTGTAACCAGCAAAAGGAAGAATGGAATACAGAAGAATCTTCTCTGGCAGAAACACACACTTGGATTAAATTACAACAAGTAACAGATCAAAGCAAAAGTCTCCCATGTATACTCTGCAAAGTATCAAGCTGACCTCGGCATGTTTGATCCCACTAACTCTGGCAAAGCAGGAAATATTTTAATGAGACACATCTCACCCCAAGAAGTCCTCCAGGTGGGCTCTGCTTACCTGCTGAATTATTTTGCACTACACAGATGACAGTCAAGAAAACCCAACTGAAGAGTGGAGCTTGCCATTTCTAATGGTTTTCAAGGTCGGAAATTAAAAACCTTTTTATGAACTGAAAATAAAATCAAGAATGGAGCAAGCCAACTTACTTCTCTAGACTTGCAAGCAGTGGATCCGGTTCTGAACTGTCCTGTACTTGCAACATCTGGTCTCTGCTTAAACGAATAATTTCACAGAGTGACTGTGATGCATTTGAATGCCTCTGGAACAGAAAAACAAAGCTTCACTGTAAGAGTAACAACAAGCTGGACTGTAACTCTTCCAACTAAGAAAGGCAGAAGTTTCACCTCAGACAAATCTCTCCTACACAATAAACGTTCAGACAATAGCTTTATGCTGTAACAAAACCTTAACAAGACAAAACGAGCCTGAGGCATGAGGCAAGAATAATTTGCATATTAAGGTGGCAAAACATAGAATACGTATACAGCTTTGATGTGGATTGAAGTGGGACCAAAAAGGGGGAAGGGGGGTGGAGTTTACTGAAAAGGGCAGAAAACAGTAAACCCCAAAAATTCTAGTACTATGATGTACAACAACTTGCTGAACAGACAGACCCAGAAGAGCTTCAGACCAATACTTACATCTTCATCTTGAGATGGATGTACAATTTCCACAAGCCTCTGGATGATTCGCTCCTCATTTAGCCACTGTAAAAGTGTTTGTGAATGTAAGAATTTTATCCACGTGAATTAATTAACAAAATTAAAAGTAGTCATTTGACAATTGCGATAAGTCATACTGTTAATATTACTAAACAAGGACTAACAATACTTCAGAAATAAAAGGTAAAAGTCAGTCTTTCTGAGCAATTACAAAAAATAAAGCCTTATTTTTAAATAAACGGCAAAAAAAATAAACAGATGTTCACTAAAGTCCAAAACTTTTTAAAAACTGCATCTGGCAGTTGTAAGTTAGATATTAAAACCCAGGGGAACAGATCAGCCTCTCAGTTTCTAAATCATCTCCACCAGCACAGTGGCTGTGCTGAAAAAGTACTAGCAGTGCCATGAAAAAACAAGCAAACAAAAGCAGCCCAAAACCCCACAAAACCAAACCAAAACCCACACACTGAACTTCAGCACACTGAAGAACTAAACTTAGTAAACCCAGCAGAATATAAACTGTTTTACAGTTCACAAATGTCAGATGAAAATCTTTTGAGACACTTTACTTACATTTAACACTTCTTGCCGAGGCTGCGGAGGTTCTATGCAAGTCAGTAGCCTGAGCAGCAAGTCCATGATAGCAGAGGTCCCTATGTGCTTAATAATGAGGTCTACAAAATCATGTTTCTTCTTTAAAAAATCCACAATCTAGAAATTAAAAAGAATTACGCTTGCATTTACTTATCTATACTTCACATGGTAAATTACACCAACCAGATTTAGCTTCTCTCTCCTAGCAAATGGAGAGAATAAATAAGAAGTTCTTAAGACACTTTTGCTACTTAAAGCTTGCAGTACAAGGCAAGATAAACTAATATACATGCATAAAGTAGCAAAAGTGGCACATGATAGATCCATGCAATGTGCAGTGTGTCTTGGACCTCCTCTCAAGCCTAACTGGCTGACCATAAACTACTTATAATCCAATGCACTGTCAGGTCTCCTTTTTGGTACAAATTACTCTCATTCCTACTTACGGAGCAAAGCTTGACACAGCAAGACCTTAACATAATGCAAAGAAATACAGAGCTTGCTAAATTACAGAACAGTCACAAACTTAATTTGCTGAGGTCTGACAGCCCATCATTGCAGCTGTTTGTAGTACCGGGCCACATGAACAGTGCAACAACATTTATGAAAAAGGACTCCAAACCTCTCTTAACTTGTTCTACACCAACTCTTCACACCAAATTGGATGCATTCCTACCAATTCAAATCATTTACCTTCACCTTTAACAATTAATACAAGTATCATCATATAAAATACTGAGCTAAGCTAAGCCAAAAGGTAAGAACTCTTACACTGATCGCACACATAGCTCAGGCAAGTATGATGTATTCGATTTGCATTTATCGAAATACATCTTTTTAATCCTGTGCATACCGTTAAAAATGGTTAGCATCTTCAGCTAGTATAGAAGTTGAATGCCCTCTTTTGACTTTGCTGCTATCCACAACAGGTAGTCATTAAGCAGCATTGCCAAATGCAACTTTATTAGAGAACTCGTTAAACTGGAAAGGTTGCAAATATTTACCTCTTCTGGTTTTCTGCTTATTAGAATACTTAGCACCTTGCTGAAGAAACTGGCCAGTAAAGGGTTTAGAGGAGATTCATTCAGGAGGAAGCTGTACAGTTTCATAAGTAAGGATTCTTCTTCTCCCAGCCTATCATTGATCTGTGAGACATCTGATGTAAGCAGCTCACACGATATGTTTGGATATCTGGGGGGGGGGAATAATAAATAAATAAAATCATACTGTTAATCATACTTCAAAGTTGTCATACTCCCAGCTCTGAATTCAGAATCTGGTAGAGCTTCTGACCAAGTTTTCAAGCAAGGTTGGTCTGCACTACTTAAAGCAGCAAACTACTGCATTGTAATGTAACTGTACATTCAGCATACAAACTCTACTCTTTCCTTTAAGAAATGGACTACTCTGATCTTCAGCAGCAACAGGATAACACTAGGGAAGTGGGGAAAGGAAAGGGCAAGCTTTTATCTTAAGATCTACTATTAAAGTCTCTTGTTCTATCATTAAGTCTATCTGTTCAAGTCTTCTCCTTGCAGAAGCAACTTTTTTTTTTGATAGGAAAAAGTTAGTTACCAAGAAGTTAAGCAGACTGAAGTACTGGACTAATACTGGGGAAAAAAGTGTGTTTGCCTCTCTCTAACAGGGATTATATTAAAATGGCCAAAAGGAGTAGTTTCAGGATATTAAAATATGTATACATATTGTAGTTATGCAGAAGCTCAGTAAACTAGTCAGTCTGACAAAACCTGCAAAACTAGCTAGTACTGCTTCACGACACCAAAGCAGAAGCATAGTCCAGAACACTGAGTAATTCAACTAAGAGGCCATCAAGACCAGTAATTTCCTGCATTTGATGTACTATCACCTACTCAGACTAAAGACAGTTTTGACTGACAGCCTAAGGTTTTTAAATGAAAGAAGCTTAAGTTTCAAATGCTACTAGAAACACTTACAGGAGGCTTGGTTTACCAGAAATGGTGAAGTGCTGCAACTAACAGTGTAGCTTATTATTTTTTTCTCCCATACTGTTTTAAGAAAAAAAAGCTACTGTCTGCATAGACAACTCTAAAATAGGCCCAAAACAGTATAAATTCTTTTATACAAACTGCTAGGTTGACTTTCGAGTTTGAACCTTCTCAGCAAGCTAGCTGAAGTCATGGCCATAGCTAATTAATTCCTACAAAGGAATTCCTACAATTCCTCTGCAAAGGAAAACATTAGTAATCACATGTTAAGTACATTCTTTCATAAGCATCTTCAAAACATCTTTCCAATCATCAATAAAACAAAGCCAAGCACTTAACTATACTACCAAATAGGGGTTTCCATTAAAGTGTTTCCTTAATCATCACAACTACAAGATTGTTCATGAGAGCTCCAATTTTTTTTTTTTTTTTTTTAATTTTTTTTTCTTTAAACCTCCTTTGGACAGCAATTGGTTTTGGATGGATTTGTGGATAAGAGGCTTCCATTTGAAAAAAATGCAAATACTAGACTGACTTTTAAGTTCTACAAAGCCTCCTGAAAAAAAAAATTGTTCTAAAGATAATGGTATTGTACTAGCAAGTACGAATGCAAAACACACTATCAAATTAGCCAGAGTAAGATACCCCTCTTTCCACCTTCCCAAGTCTCCCCCCCCCCCCCCCAAATTTTCCTACTTATATCGAATTTGTTCATCCATGTCTTGAGGTGGCTCTTCGATAATAAATGAAACTAAGTCTTCCAAACATTCTAACTTCAGCAGAAAATCTATAAGTTTGCGATTCTGAGCCTTGCACTCTTGCAGAACATCCTCTTCATCCATCAATTCCTTCAGTGTTACATCTTCTCTCTCTAGAAGTGTATCTATGTGGGATGACGAATGGAGGTCAAATTTCCAAAACATGCTGGTCTGGATAAGAAGAATACACACAAAGCATTAAGTTCACAAATCTATTTAAGCAGTATTTGTAGGTAACACTTCATACTAGTATTTTATAGCTTCTAACCCCAAAGGTACCTGCATGCATAGAAACTTTAGAACTCAAAGGAGACACGACAGATGCTGACAATCAAAAGTTACAAAATCAGGCTTGATTAAAGATGACTGAATACTCTGTAGTAATTTTTGTACCTTCAGCAACAGCCAATATTCTAGCATCTAAATATAAAGTTAGACAGCTCCAGGGTTTTACTTACATGAAAGGAACATGCTACACTGCATTAAAGAAATAAGGGTAACTCTGTTTTTCATCTATGGACCAGGTTTCAGGTTCAGAACCACGTGCTCAGCAATTAATAGAGCTGGGAAAGATAAAATGAGCACTGCATAAACGCACTTGAGTACTATTCCTACCACTGGAGGACACACCTATGAAGGTGAAGGAATTATAACACATTTTAACTTGCTGGCAGTACACATCAAAGTGCTGGAGCTAATTTCAACACAGGACATTCTCACTCACTGCCCCTCCCTCCACAAACTTGACACACGAGGAATAACATTTGACAATAAAATATCTTATGCAAACATGTGAAAGGGCAATGGCCCCAAACACAAACATTGCAAAAGACTGTAAGAGAAATGGGTAAGGATGAGCAACTTCACCTTTCCTTATAAAAGGCTTTGGCATATGTTAATTTTGTTGCTCTAAGACACTTCGGAAGCAGTTGCTATCAAGACAACCGTGCTATCAGGAAAGAGTATTTCAGCCTATGATAGAGCTTGCTTTCACTTCACATTAAGCTCAATACAAGCGTTCGCTTCACCCACTCCTCTCCAAAACAGGTCTTGGATATGACATTTAACCTCTGACACAGTATCAGCTGGTCTTACATGAATGCAGAACGTGGACTAAAAGATACTATAGATAATAGAGTGCAGCAATAGAAACTTTTCTTTCCTTCCTTACAATTGGAAGCAGTAATTGGTTTTTAAGCAGTACTCATAAGGAAACATTCCCTTTGTTCCTTTAGTAACTGCCTTCCAATTCATTAGTTACTACTGTGTATATTAGCCACATCAGCTGTGAGGACATGTGGTTACTGCAAAGAACATAGATGAATAGTAGCATTTTAGCAAAAACACATCTGTAAGCTGCAGGGGATATGAAGCAGCAAGCTTAAATGCTTTTGCTGTACATTCTTATAAAAACCTACGACATCCCCCCCACAAAAAAAAACACCACAAACAGAACAACTATCTACTTCTTATGCAAACTAAGATAAAGACAGCTTTAAGCATTTATTTCCAAGTTAAAAGTGGATTCAGCATCCACACTAAAGCTATTTAGAACAGTGAAGTGTCAAATTTAGTACCTGAGCAGTTTAGAAAACAGGTAAAAGTCCAAGCATCCAGCAAACCCCTTATGATTATCTTCAGCAGCAAGACTGACAGTATTTGGCCAAACACTGAAAAGCCTGGTATATTCACTATAGAGAAGTTCTAATTGCTTTCAGGATTTTCACTGCTGCTTTAACCATTACACACTGATCACTTAATGCCACCTTGTTTTGCTTAGCCTTTTGTCAGAATGCATAAGTATACATAACTGCCCCTAGATTACATAGCTTTCCGTTTAAAGATAAGAGAGCCAAACAAATCAGGAAAAGGTACAGCTAATTTCAATTGCAGTATCAGTACTTATCATCCGAGATCCCATGCAAGGATTAAGTGGTTAAAAACAGAAAAATTATTTTCTAATAAAAGAATTAGTAAATTTACAAGTAGGGTTCAAAACATCTGATCTCATGAATTAGCTTAAATCAAATTATACAAAGTTGTTAAACACACTAGCTTGTGGGTGGGTATTCAGCCTACACAGATTTACTGTAAGCAAGTGAAACGAGTGCATTGTTAGCTGTGGGATAAATTCTGTTTGGTTTGCCTTTTTAAAGCCTCTAGAAAGCAGATCAGATCATTCCCCTTGCCACAATTAATGAAAGTAACATCTTTGCAAGTAACAACCATCAATGTTAATTCCAGCTGTAAATCCCTCTGCAGCGAATAAAGCTCATTTCAGTAACTTCAATGTATTTCTCAGTTACTTATTTCAAGAGAAATTCAACAATGGAAAATAGCAAAAAAAAAAAAAAAAAATAAAAGGCATACTACTGCGAACATGTTACTGCGTTATTTCACAAACTCTCTCGCAGGCAAGCTCTTTTAGGGGTGCTCCCTCAACATGGCAGGTGCTGGCCAGAGATTATTCCGTCACTTTTCAACAGGAGCCCAGGTCCTTTGAAATAAGGAAAGATAAACAACATAAAATGTGCCAAGGATGAAGTCCAGGAACCCTGGAGAAAAGAGAATTTTCTTAGGCGTTATCACCGGCAATAATCTAGGATCGGTCTAACATAGTTCTGAATGGAAATTTAAAAAACAAAGTTGTTATTCTTCCCACAGCCTACTTTTCTATCCTCCCTCCCCAAACCTACCAATTCTGAAATTCTTAATTGTCTTCATGTTTTTCAAATTTCAGTCCCAGTAACATAGTCACAATTACGCCTGATGTCCACAAATCAGGGGTGCTCCTCTTAAATTTCACTATCTGCAAAGATAAACTCCGCAAATCTACTGGGTTGTGGTACTGCCAATGTTCAACTCCACTACCAATGTGAACAGAAAAATCACATTTGGATTCAATTAAAGATGTAAGAGACTGCTAAACATTAGACATGCTCAAGATTAGATACTTCTAGAAAAAAAGTAATCCAGGATAATACTAAAAACTCTCAAGTGTAGAAAGAAAAAGAAAGTAAACGTGCTGCAGATATTTGTCTTTTGTAACTTGAGTTAGCTTTCCATAATCTCTGAAAATTTCCAGATAGCAAGACTAACAGACTTCCAGTTCATGGAAACAACACTTCTGAATGTTCATATCAACTTGCTGCTGTATAAGTTATGTCAATTCAAGATCTTAAGGAACACCTAGCATTCAGAAAAATACTGCTTTGTTTCCCTCGTTAATACTGTTCGCAGATTTGAATGAATGCTGAAATAACATTCCACATGGTAAACACCTGACTTAAATCTGAAAAGAAGAAAGCACCCCACCAAAATGCAGAAAGCCTGTCAACTGCTCTGAGATAGAGGTAACTGAAATTTTCACTTGAATTGTTTACTAAAGGGAAGAAATAAAGCTTAGAAACAATTCTTTCAGACCAGAAAGAATATGAAGCTTTCTGCCTACTACACCTGCAGAAAACCACACAGTATTTTGTTTAACAGTAATTAAGTCTGTGGCTCTTTCTAGAGGCTGAAGGCTTAACTGGCATCTCCATCAAAACAAGCCAGTAACAACTGTCTCAATAAATTTCTGTAACTTCCAGTCGACACAGCTACCAAACACCTTTCCTGAACACAGGCATTTCTGCTTTCAATCTACAGGATGAAGATACAAATTCCAGTCAGACAAGCATTGTGGACAATGTCTCCTATACTGAACTTTTTACAAAACAGATGCATTACTTTAAAGCATCCAGAAGTCCCTTAAGCAAATAAGAAAGCTATTAAAGTTAGCTGCTCATTTAACTTTTAAGCATCATCCTCAGGTAAAACAAACACAAGAAACACTCTGCGTGGAGTTACTTACAACTTGGTGCCTCATACCTCTATGTAACAGGTGGGTATTGGTAGCTACAAGCAGACCCAGGGATCTAGACCAGTGCAGAAACAAAACAGAGGAACCTCTGCTAGTCAGATGAAGGCTGGTTCTACCTGACAACTGGATGTTAAAAGCACATAGAGCTTCCAATAGGTACTTCATAGATTTTGCAGCAATACCTAGTTTCATTTTTCAGCAAGAGAAACTTCTAAAAGAAAAAGCATAGCAGTGTCAAGCTGAATATTCTGCAATATACCAAAGTCAGAGAAATACTACATAGAGAACTACAACAAGGACTGTTACAAAAAAAAAAATACAGTTACATTAGTTTTTTTTATGTAGCACCCTATTTTCTCACTAGAGGGTTCAAGCGCACAGATGAAAAATCAGTCATTTTTGCAACAGCAAACTTTCCCATGACTAAAATACATCCTAAATTATTCAGCCTACTTCAGCAAAACAGGGATTTACAACTCCTGTGTAGCAACTAACAAAAGACAACTTAGTAGTTGGATGCAAGCAAAGCAACTACCAAGAAAGTCCTTGGTGCCACTACAAGCTTTCAAGAAGGTCTTGTATTTCTTACTGATAAAAGCATTTATGATGCAAAAAATCCATTGCATTCTAAAAAACAGAGGCAGGTAGGTTTGGGGAAGGACAAAGTAATGTTGAAGATAAATTATTATGCTTTTATCATTAAAAGAATTTACCCATCTTTGTAAGACCTTTAAATGCATTAAATTTCTTTAAAATGCTATTCATGCCCTTCTGCCAGCTTCAGCTTCATATAACCTCAACCAGTTAGCCTTGAGGTACATTTAATTAGTTCCCAGTTCTATTTTTTCCCCTCCTTTCTCCAAGCAACAGAGTAATTAGGCATCATAATCATTTATAAAGTGCTTATGCTTACACTGGAAGCAGACCATCTGTTCAAAGCAAAGCTAAGCACAAGTGCATGTCTCAAATTTTAGAGCTAAACAGAATGACCAGTCACCCCAATGGAAAAAGAAGGCACCTGAGTGGCTGCTTTTCAAACTGTATTTCACTCAGATAGAGCATCACCCACTATAAGCCTACTGCCTACAACTGCCTGTCCTTCAGGCACCAAGAGGGGAAGTGGAGGACAGTCCCTATGGCCAAGGGGCAGCAAGATGGCAAAGTGGAGCAATCCTCAGGAAAGGGGCCCACAGCCCACCTGAACCTCCTCCTCCTCCCATAAGAGGATCTTTCAAACCACTGCCACCCCCCTCAACTCCCAGAACAGTCATATTTGTCCACATACATTGCCACCACAGTGGCCCACAGATGTCACAAGCTACCTCACTGCCTCTTGTTCCAGGCCCTATAAATACATAGGCCCTGACAGCTGGTCCAGCTGCTGAACTTCAAGGCCCTCAGATTCAAGGATGATTGGAACAAAAAGTTCCTAAAGCAGCAAAGTGAGTGGCTGCCCACTTTTGCATGGGGAAGGCAGATGACACAGGAGACACAGACAAAGCAGCATCAGAGGGAGTACACCATGGTAGCGATGGCTATTGCTCATGCAGCTGATGGTGTGTAGCCCATGGAGGTGTATCCACCCAAAGACCAAGAAGAAATGATGGAAATGGGTCTACCTCCAGCATAGCTCCCCTGGCAACACTGCATCACACCAGGGCTCTTTTCCATAACACCATAAACACAGCATCACAGGAGTACCCAGCCAGCACAGACTCTGTACCTGTGGAGGTACATGATACTCTGTACCGTGGAGGCCCAGCTTCCATGCCTGGCTGCCCTGAAGGCTTACCCATTCCACTTCTTAGCATTAAGAATTACTTTACTGACTACAGGTTGTGCCAGCCCTTCTGTTTTCATTCTGAAGGGAGGCTGGACTAGATGAGCTCTAAAAGTCCCTTCCAACCCAAACCATTTTATGATTCTACAATCATCTTAGTAAGACTTCACCATCCAGTTGTAACATTCAGGAATTGTGGGGGAGCATTCTTTGCACATAAGCTAGCAACGTTCCAGTGTTTTGAACAATTTGCAGGTAAAGTTTCACTTATACCACCCCCCCCACCCCCCCCAAAAAAAAGCCAAACAAAACACCACACCTTCTCCCAAATACCATCAAGAAATCCTGGGTAACCACAAGTCATTTCAGAATACAAGAGAAACACTTCCTCATGCTCATTGACTATTGGACAATTTAAACTTGTACCACAGATACAATTCCTTCCAGACACTGTACTCATTTAAAGCACATACAACCACTATACCTTCAGAGGGTAACTACATACTCAAGTGAAAAACAAGCAAAAGACATCACGTAGTAGTCCTTGTTTGACTGGAAGAGAAACAAGTCAGAAAACTGCATAAAGACACAGTAATTTTCATAACATCCTCTTTTAACAGCTGCCTCTTCCTCCTAATAAGAAGGCAAATATCAGACAAAGGAAAAGGGAGCCTGCTACAGAAGTAGAACAGTTAAGGATTGAGATAGAAATTGTATCACTTTCACCCTTACTTATCACAGTAGCCTTCCTTATTTATGCATACTAGCTGCACTTCTATCTAGACCATAACTATATATACTTAACATAATATGTAGATAATAGCCATCATGTGCATATACACACATGCCTATTATGACTGTACATCCCAGTAATCAACTGCTTTGGCATGCTGAAGTACATGAATGAGTCCAAACTAGTTAATGTTTATTCAAAGACACCAATCTCTCAAAAACTCAAGAGGTCATAATTGTCCAGCAAAAGCACAAAAATCAGCTGAAATCTATAGTTTGCCATGAAGTTACAAGAGCAATTTTATACCAAGTACATGTGTATCCCTGTCAACTCTTATACTCTATCACAACCCATGGTGTGTTAATAAATTAGATCTTCATTACCTGAAATAGCTACAAATTACACACTGATCTCCCCAGCCCAAATAAAAAGGATGAATTATTTTCTAGTAACTCCACTTCAATAGTTGAATATTTACACATTTAAAACATTTACTGGCCAAAAAATTCAGTTATATTCTTATTTTGAATTCTCCCAACTATATTCAAAACGAATATATCTATGTACTTACAGAAGACAGCTCCATAATAATATAAAAAGCAAGCTAAACAGTGCATAGCTATTCACAGAACAATTTGACACTGAAGCATGCAGTTTAGTACCAGAAATTCAGTTGCAAAAGATAATATTACCACACTTCAATATTACAACCTATAGTGCTAAACAGCAGTCATACCTAATATATACCAGTTCATGAACATATTTGCTTTGGAATTCTCCCAAAGAATGAGAAAGTGGGCAGCAATTACACCTCCTGGCACAAAAGCAAAACACTTTAAAACATATTCTCTGCAAAACAAATAGAATAACCACAGCAGTGCGTCTAATGACCCTTGATTCCCATTGTAAGACCAAAGCAGGGCTGAGAAAGAATATAGTGTAACAGGAGGGTGGGTTAAAGACAAAGTTAGAAACAGCCATCTAGAAAGCAATCCAAGAAAAGCTGCAAGGAAAGGGAAGGAATGGGCACAAAGTCTGAACTGCAGAAAGAAGGCTGTAAATGTGAACCTACAGAAATCAGGTATGTAAGCCTTTAGTGGACATCAGGAACAAGAAAAACTTAAAGCATTCAGAAACCATTTAAAATGCAAGGCTTTACAGATGCAGAAGCTAAATCTACTGCTGTAGGTGAAGTATAATAGTTTCTTACCTGTAAAACACAAATATTTTTTTTTTTAAGTTAAAAAACAATGATTTGTATTCTTTCAGGCTCCTTGCCCATTACAGGGGATTCTGGCAACAGCAAAAAATTTTTCAGTCTACAGTATTAGCAGATTAGCAGGACTGAATTAGGAGTGAGTTAGATGAAGTAGATTTCTTCCTACAACAAAAAAAGAAATATTATAATTTGATACTGTTTAATACTTATTTTTAAACCAACTTGAATTAAACATCCCCCTTTATTTTTGGGAGACAAACGAAGAAACTTCATTGCCTCATTGAAATAAAACTGCCTTTAAAATCTGGGCTTGACTGTGGAACCTAACAAAAATCCAGGCTCTTTTCTAATAAACAATTAGCAACTGCATATGAAGTAACATCTTCAGAGCTAGAATAGACATTATTACTAGTTTTTTGCAGCAGTCTCTTATTTCCTTATAACTATTCTTCTTATATTAAGACCCAATCTACCCAAAACTGCACAGAAAAAAAGCCACACAAACATTAAGAATGCCAGTTATTTGGGCATAAGTCTGTATAAACAATTCAGCCAGTTTCAATTTGAAAACAGCTCGACTTGGAAAGAAACAATACAGCCCACATACCCACATACAAACTTATAAAGGAAACGCATTCAGTCATGAAGACAACTTCTGCTTTTTATAGTTTAATTCTTCCAACGTAAAGCAAAGTACCATTAAAGAGCTTAATTAGATATCCATAACTGGCTTGAGAGTGCCTGTGCTCTGGTCAACACCAAAGAGGCAAGAAAAAGCATCTGATGTAGCTGTTTCTGGCAGCTGGAAGATGAATTTCTAACACAAAAATTCACCTTCCTTCTCCATCAGTTACACAGGACTTTTTGATTTTGTTCTTCATTGCAGGTTTCAAGCAAGACGTTTATTTCTTTTGAGAACAGGGGTAACATCGATCATTTAAAAAAAAAAAAAGTACTAGCAACTAAGGCGGCTAGCAAAGATTTTAGCACATTCATTAATTCATGTCCATGCCTACCTAGCATGTGCCCAAAAAGCTCTGCTATCAGAGTTTGTCACAAATGTATCTTTAGCTAAAAAAATAAAAAAACAAAAAAAAAACCCACACAAAAACCCCCAACCAAACCACCACCACCAACAAAAACACAACAGAAAAAAAAGCACCACCACCAAAACACAAAAACAAGCAAACAAAACAAAACCAAAAACCAAACCACACCAACCCATACACCTTAAAAAAGCATTTCAAGTATCCTGCCAAAGAGAAGAATTTTTTTTTTCTGACTTGAAATACCAGGTTATGAGCTCCAACAGTTCTGGAACCAAACCCAACAAATACACATTTGTATTTTTTTCACAAAAGCACAAGGACTCCAAGCCTTTGTACACAAACACTAAACACAATATTTTAATGCTATTTTAGTAACCAGGAACCTAAAGGCAATGT